GATAGAGCGTCGGCTTGTGGACTGAAGGGTCCTGGGTTCGATTCTGGTCAAGGGCATATGCACACGTTGCGAGCTCAGACCTCATTGGGGGGTGTGCAGGAGGCAGCCGATCAATGATTCTCTCTCATCATTGATGTTTCTATCTCTCTCCCTCTTCCTTCCTCTCTGAAATCAATAAAAATGTTTTAAAAATATTTTTAAAGTAACATAAACATGGGGTAGAGGGGAGTTATGGGAATTCATTGGGCAAGAATGCTGGGGGGGGGCAGGATTTGGGGGACAGTTGATTTTATCTAGAACTAAGACTTTTTGTCTGTACTGGCTTATATGTTGGGTGGAATTCAGGACAGAGGGTGGGAGGGAGAGAGGAATATAGATGCAACTGCTTTCTCCCCTGCCTCCCACAAACCATCCACAGAGTCTTCCCACACCTCTGAGAAAACAAACCAAGCCTTTCTCACACTTCCCACCCTGCGATGTTTCCCTTTTAATCCTCTTTTATTCCTTCACCTTCCTCCTTCTCCTGCTTCTCCCACTCACTCCAGATTTGCATTCCTTCTCCATTGCTGTACCTCCATCTTATCTCTCCTGAAATCTTGTGTTTAATAAAACCTGTTAGTGCTCCCCAGATGACCACCAACCAGATTCACCCCCATTTTTTGGAACCACTTATTCCTCCTCCTTCCCTCCTCTCTCCGAGTCCTGTGCGGACTGATCTCCCGAGAGCAGAACAGATGGGAGACAAGATTGAGTAACACCGGAAAGGAGCCTGAGTCCTCCCGTTACCCCACACGTATCAGGCCCCCTTTTTAGGTCTGTTTTCTTTCCTATCTAGACCCCCCTCTACAGTTATTCTCTGTGTGGGTCGGTGGAAGAATCATTTCCAAAGAATATCATGAGTGTGTAGAAAGAACGCTGGCCGTGCTAAGACAATGCTTCCAGGCTCACCAATCTGGTGACGCTGGGAATGTGGATCCGTGGACACTCTTCAAGGTCCCTTAAGCTGAACCTTTTCATGCGGTGGCTGCTCCGTCTCCTCCACCTCTCTCAGTGGTCTGACCCACCCCTGGCTCCATCCTCTAGAAACATATCCAGCGTTCTTTTGGAAAACACCCCTGAGAACGGTTGTGTGTGCACTAGGAACTGGGTAGCCCCAAAGATATCAGCTTTACACTGAATTTGCAAACACATGTGAAGCGACAGAGGCTTCCTTATGGAAAAACACCAAGACATGGCAATGCACGGAAGAGCTAATCCTCTTGGGCCTTGAAGGAGTGTTAGAATCCAGACGAGCGAACAGGATGGGATGGCGATCAGGTTGGGCCCTGGCTTGACAAAAGGCAGAGACCTGAGGCATCGAGGGGCGCCAGGATTCTTAGAGGGGGAGCGAGGAAAAAGAGAATTATAGTTGTGAATACAATCCCGGGACTAATCCTCTGTGTGACCTGGGGCAACCTCTTTCAGCCTCAGCCTACTTATCTGTAAAGTGGGGATAATTAATAGTACTTAATTGTCAGGGATTTAGTTCTTGTAAGTTCTTTTTTTTTTTTTTTAAATATATTTTATTGATTTTGTACAGAGAGGAAGGGAGAGAGATAGAGAGTTAGAAACATCGATGAGAGAGAGTCATCAATCAGCTGCCTCTTGCACACCCCCTACTGGGGATGTGCCCGCAACCAAGGTACATGCCCTTGACCGGAATCGAATCCGGGACCCCTCAGTCCCCAAGCCAACGCTCTATCCATTGAGCCAAACCGGTCTCGGCTTTTTTTTTTTTTTTTTTTTTTTTTTTTTTTTTTTTTTTTTTTTAAATAGTTCTTGTAAGTTCTTGACATTTTATTTACAATGGTATCAAGACCATTCAATGGAGAAAAATAGTCTCTTCAAAGAAATGGGGGCAACTGGATAACCACATGCAAAACAATAGCGCTGGACCCTCACTTCATGCCATCTGTAAAAATGGACTCAACGCGAATTAACTATCTGAATATAAAATCTAAGAACATATCTATATTTTATAAGCATGAGAACAACGCGTGAAAATCAAACAGGACAATGCTTACAAAACGCTCAGCGCGGGGACTAGCATAGAAAGTAAACACTCAATACGTGCTCACTCCTACAATGGCCACAATTACCGCCGCCAACAACGGGCATTTGATTGCTTCTGCTGCCGCGGAGGGGCAGACGGGTCTGCAAAGACAGGTAGGGGCCAGGTTGTGAGGAAGCCCCTGAAAAACCATCTAAGTATGAATTCTTTCCTGTAGACAATGAAGAACCACGGGATTTTTTTTTTTTTTTTGAGGAATTCATAATCAATTTGATTGGGTTCAGACCAGAAGTCCATGGGTGTTGAGGACCTTTATATTTGTCCTTCTCTCACGTCCCCCTCCCCCCTATGTTCTTTTGGGCTTATTTCTTATAAGCTGGGTGGGTTTTTTTGTGTTTTTTTTTTTTTTTTTCTTCCAGTAAAACTCTTGGCCTTCTTCCTCTTCACCAGAGAGGCTGTGACTGCCTGATAGTTCCAGCCAACTCCAGGAGCCCGGCGCCCCAGGTAGGCAAGCTTCCATACAGGTTTCAGACGCACAACTTGGAGGGTGGCAGGAACTACTGTTTGCTTTTTCTTGTCATAGGGCGGCAGGATTCCAATGAACACCTGGAGGCGGTCCAGGGAAGCCAGGCCTCCCCTGGTCTTAGGCAGCAGCGTGCAGAGCACAGTCTGCCTGAAGAAGTAGTGAGAGGGCAGGGCGGAGTTATCTTCCATTCTGTAATTGAACCCTAGCCCTCACCCAACCGATCAGGGTTAGCTGAGGCAGTGACATCACCACCGACCAAAGTAAAACCCCTGGACTGGGCAAAATTTGCACTCTTCCGCCATGCTGCTGGCATGAGAGGGACAGAGTCCATGCTATCATGGAAAAGTCTCTTTTGTTTATTGCATCGGACTCGGCTCCCTGGTGGTCCTTGGGGATCACGAAGTCTGGGCGTAACAGTAGCTGGGGACCGGCTAGGAAGCGGGAGGGGCCGTGGGATGGGGTGATGTGCATCTGCTTGCTAGGGAAAGCCAGATACTTCAACTTGTTTGCCAGATACATGGATGCCCTCACAGTGTGCATCTCTGACTGATAAAGGTGTATAAGAGGGGATGATAGTTGGAATCTTCATATGGACAAAGATAAAAAGAGAGATCCTAAAGCTATGCTGTTGGCATTTTAGGAATCAATGACCAGGTGGGAGAGTTGGGTTGGGGATGAAGGGTCAGGGGTCAGGGGCTTTCTCAGAGAGACTAAACCACGCGATTGAGGCTGCAGCCCATGCAGTCTCACCTCCACACGGACACAAAGCCAGAGACAAAGCCTTATCGCCCTCTGCGTGTGTGTGTGTGTGTGTGTGTGTGTGTGTGTGTGTGTGTGTGTGTGTGTTGCTGTGACAACAGCCCAGAAGTGTCTGCTCCCCTCTTGCCTGCCTCAGGGCTTCCCGCCCTGGTGAGCTGGGACACGCCCACCATAATCTGGCACCAACAGGTCATTTTCCTTCAGAAGTCTGCCAGGGCTTCTCAGCTGCCCATGGAGACACTTTTCAAACGGTCCTGTGCCGGAGTCAGGGAACCACAGGACAAACAGAGTGCCTCTCCCTGAAGCATCATCTTTACACAGCTCTTTAGGATAAATGTGAGTTTTGAATGAGACAAATGTGGCAAAATTTAGAGATAATTCTGCTTTATATTTGTGTAATAAGTTTGATAGAATTTCTTTTTGCATATATTTTTTTCAACTCCCTTGTGAAAAGGGCATCCGTGGAATTCTGCTGTCCCTGCCCTAGAATCAGGTGGGAGGCAGGGAGGGGAGAGTGTTCCGTGATGACGATCTTCCTTGGAGGAGAAGGGGACTTGGTAAATTTTCCTGAACAATTACATTTTGGAAAAGTGTAACCCAAGGGGGATTGGTTTCAACACCAAAGAACTCAGTTCATTTTTCAAGGGAATGCTGTCTAGAACCTCCACCTGCTGAACTAAAGAACAGGAGTCTTCCCTACTCTATATTTATTTTATATATAACTCCTTGGGCTTACCAAAGTTTTACAAGCCACAACACTTAAATTACAGGTTTTCTAACATAGAGATCCACGTGTGAAACCTATTATGTTCCTGTTGACCCATGTCACCCCAATAAAATTTAATTTAAACACAAAACCCTCTCAAAATATGCTCTAGAAACACCATAGAAAATTCACATCCATGTAAAAATAGAACACATACGAGTTCAAGGAAGTTTTGCACTTGTCCTGGGCTGCGTGGGCTCCCCCTGCACGTGGCTCCCTGGTTAGCTGGGACACGCCCGCTACAGGACAAATGCCATTAGAGAAATATTTCTGCACAAATGTTTGAGAAGCACTGACCACCCTACCTTGACTACAGTCTGAATCTGCTTGTTTTTCTTTACATTTGTCTCTAAATTGGCCCACGACAATTTTGTCAAATGCACACCCCTCTTCCTTCCACAATGAGCCATACGAATCTTTTGAAACCCCTGTGGTGAAGAAGCATCTATTTGTGTATTTAAAATGATTCGTCTCTACTTTTCATACTCATTAGGTTTTTGCACCGAGGTTGGTGATATTTGTGGTCAGGGATACTTGCTGGCATGTTGATTCATGGATTGATTGATTCAACTGTATCTGTGGAGCCTGTGGTTCACAAGGTACATATTGGGGTCAGCGGGTAGGAGTCAGAGATGAAACCCACGGACAAGGACAGCATGATTCAAAGGGGAAAGACCCATCCATGCCAGCAACACAATGTAGGGTGTGGTTAGGGAGATGAGCCTGGGAGAGCCTCGAGAAATAGATTCAACTCCACGCAAGGCTCTCCTATGCTTTCTCTTGGGATAATACAGAATAATGACTTTGATCAACTCCATCCTGACAAGCCACAGAAAAACGAGTGAATTTTCATCATTTTTGCTTTGCAGGTTTCTTTCTGGGCATGTGGGGAAGGCCCCATGGAACCACGGAACCTCACATGGGGATCCGAGTTTGTCCTCTTAGGGCTCTCCCAGACCCAGGAGCTCCAGAAATTCCTGTTCCTGGTGTTCCTCCTTGTCTATGTCATCACTGTCGTGGGAAACCTCCTTATCATGATCACGGTGACTTTTGACTTCCGGCTTCACATGCCCATGTATTTTCTGCTTCAGAATCTGGCTGTCATAGACCTCTGCTATTCCACGGTCACTTCTCCGAGGATGCTGGTGGACTTCTTCCGTGAGACCAAGACCATCTCCTACCAGGGCTGCATGGCCCAGATCTTCTTCTTCCATCTCCTGGGAGGTGGGACCGTCTTCTTCCTCTCCGTGATGGCCTATGACCGCTACATTGCCATCTCCCGGCCCCTCCACTATGCTACCATCATGAATACTCGGCTGTGTGTGGGGCTGGTGGTGGCTGCTTGGGTAGGGGGCTTTGTCCACTCCATTGTCCAGCTGGCTCTGATGCTTCCGTTGCCTTTCTGTGGCCCCAATGTCCTGGATAACTTCTACTGTGACGTCCCACAAGTGCTGAGACTCGCCTGCACGGACACATCTCTCCTAGAGTTCCTCATGATCTCCAACAGCGGGCTGCTGGTCCTGGTCTGGTTCCTCCTCCTCCTGGCTTCATACACGGTCATCCTGGTGATGCTGAGGTCCCACTCGGGACAGGCCCGGAGGAAGGCAGTGTCCACCTGCACCACCCACATCATCGTGGTGTCCATGATCTTCATTCCCTGCATCTACATCTACTCCCGGCCCTTCACGCCCTTCCCCATGGACAAGGCTGTGTCCATCAGCTACACCGTCATGACCCCCATGCTCAACCCCATGATCTACACCCTGAGGAACCAGGAGATGCAGGCGGCCATGAAGAGGTTAGGCAGACACCTAGTGATGTGCAACAGGGAGTGAACTTTAAAAAGGTCGACTTGAAATGGCAAACTTCCCTCTGAACGTTTGTTACCCCAGGTGGAAAGTGGAGGAAAAGTCTTTATGAGAGTGTGACAATTAAGATTAAATGAATATTTCTACGGACCTACTCCTGTGTCAGATACTGTGTTGGGCACTGTTATACTTTTATCTCATTCTCATAAAGCTCATAAGGAATACCCTATTTTTATATCAAACGGTTTCACCTATGAGGAAACTCAGAGAGAAATGACTTGCTCAATAATGAACCGCAAGGGGGTTCCTCTGACTCCAAGATTAGAGGTATGAGACATGGATAGGATTTAAAACTCAGGATTGCCCTAGCTGGTGTGGCTCGGTGGATAGAGCGTTGGCCTGTTGACTGATGGGTCCCAGGTTCGATTCCGGTCAAGGGCATGTACCTTGGTTGCAGGCACATCCCCAGTAGGAGGTGTGCAGGAGGCAGCTGATGGATGTTTCTAACTCTATGCCTCTCCCTTCCTCTCTGTAAAAAAAAAAAAAATCAATAAAATATATATATTTTTAAAAATTACAAAATTCAGGGTCTCCTCATCCATGGATCAACATCTGTGATAACTAGTCAACAGTTTCATCTTACCTCTGGAACAATCACTCTTTTTCACTCCCTGCCTCATTATCCATTGTGGTATTTGGGAAGTGGTTTCACTTTTAACATTGTATAAATATTTCCCATAAGGACATTTGCCCCTAGGATTTCTTTTCCTACCAAATACCCCTTGTATAATCTGCGCACGGTTCTACTTTTCCAACACGGTCTTTACATCAGTTGGATGAGTTGGTTGAGAGGAGAAGTGTGTAGTTTGGGGGACCAAGGCCAGAGAAGGCGGGGCATGTCTATTCACGTTCCGGTTCTGGGGTGGGGCGCTCAGTCCGAGGCTAACACCTGGTGGGTGTTCTCTTTGACTTCCTGTCCCGGGACGGGATCGCCAAGAGGGCAGATTCTGTGCTTTCTTCACCTTTTAAGTCCTCCCAGCGCCTCTGAGCAGTACCTTACACAGAGAGGCGTTTCAGTTTTTCCTGCATCTTGTTCTTTCCCCTGCCAATTTCAGAATCTACTTTTTCTGTCTCTCTCTGTTAACATTTATTCCCTCCATCTCCTTTGAAGTATCCTTCTTCACTTTGTAAAAATCTCTGGTCAGGTATTCTGTTGATTCAAAGTTAAGAAGATAATGTAGAAGCTTTTTGTTCCTTCTTTCCTTCTGGCAACCATCCCATCCCAAGAAATAAAAGTCCTTTGGGGCTCTCTCTAAGCCATCATGGCAACTCTGACTCACCCTCTTCCACCTCCACTTTCCTGTCCTCGTTTCTCACATTTCTCCCTACTCACAGTGGACCTAAGGAGATGAGGGGAGAGAGAATGGACTTAGTGTCATATTTGATCTGTGTGGTCCCTCAGAACAGCTTTTCTTGCTTTTATGTTAATTTTTTTTAAACGACTGATGATACGTTTCTCATCCTCCAATTTGCCTCTTCTCCGGATGCAGCATCTGTATTCCTTCAATTGTCCCTGTTGTGACAAGTTTCCCGACTCCACCATCCTCTGTGACATCACCCTCATATGACAACATCCACCTTAAGATGAGATGCTCCCCGCATGACACACTGCTGTGCTGGGGGGTGTGAACTCCTTAGAAAATGGTTATCCCACTTTAAATATATATTACTAGAGGCCCGGAGGCCCAGTGCATGACATTCATACACTGGGGGGCCGGCGGAGGGGGTGAAGGGGGGATTCCTCAGCCCAGCTTGCGCCTTCTTGCAGTCTGGGGTGTCCAACTGCGGTGGCTCCTGCCACTGCCCTTGTGCTGGCCAGCTGTGAGCCTGGCTTCTGGCTGACCACCAGGGGGCAGCTCCTGTGTTGAGTGTCTGCCCCCTGGTGGTCAATGCACATCACAGTGACTGTTCAGTTGATTTGCATATTAGGGTTTTAATATATAGGAGGATAAGAATGCTTTTGACTGCAAATAGCAGAACAACAACAACAACAACAAAACAGTGGCAAAAATAATGAGAAAATTATCTCACTGTCAAAGAAAGACTAGAAGATAGGAAATTCCAAAGTTGGTTAATTCAACAGCTCAAACATTTTAGGGCTCTGGGTTGGCTGTTCTGAAATTCCTTGCTTTTCTCCTCATGATGGTACTATGACTGCCAAACTTCCAGGCATCAGATCTTTATATTCAAATAATCGAGCGAGAAGGACTAGAAGAAGCGTCCATGTGGTTTTTCATTTTTACCAGGGGACAAAAATTTTCCCTGAACCACTTCAGCAGAATTTCCCTATGATTTGATGTCAGAACTGGGTCATATGGTCATCCCAGTCTGCAAAGGGAAATGGAAGGGCGAATGTCTGGCTTTTTCAGTCAGGAAGAAGGGGTTTGGGAATGGCCATCAGTGGTGTCTGTCATAGGTATAAGCTCCTGGAAGTAGAGACATGATTGGCTTGACTCAAAAATATTTTTAAAAATATATATTTAATGGAGAACCAAAATGACCTGTACTGGTTGCCATCTACAACCACATCAAAATTACAACTAAAATAGAGCACATTGTCCAGAATCACCTGAAAGCTGACTGAATCTAGTCTTACAACTAGAGAAGAAAGCACATCGAGATGGGTAGGAGGGGTAGAGGCCCACGGACTAGGCTGGTTGACACCCACGTGTGCCGGTTTTAATCCTGAGGGTCATGTCTCTGTGGAGGCCGCCCCTGAGGAGCAAGGGGTCCCAGCCCCACACCACACCCCCAGCCCAGGGTCCCAGAGCTGGGGAGAGAAGGCCCCGTAACTTTGGGCCTTAAAAACCAGAGGGGATTTTGGCTGAGTGACACAGAGGCTGCTGTATCCCAGGTGTTCCTCTTAAGGGCCCGCACACAAACTTACAAGGTCTCGCTTCTTCTGGTCTCTGGTGTTAGGGGAAGGGGGTGGTGGTGGTTGCAGGCGCTCAGGGTTGACTTTCTCCCTGACGGGGGCGTGGAGGGGAGGGGGGAATGCTCGCAAGGATCATTGTTCCTGTGCTGGGACTCCTCTGTCGCAGGGCTGACAGGCAGCCATGTCAGCGTAGCCCACATTGCTTGCTCAACCCCGGGGAGTCCCTGAGATCCCGCCCTTCCGATTTGCAGCCCCACCCAAGCTGTTTGCAACAGCTTTTCCATAGGAATGGCCTGTCCTGGCTCAGGCCTCAGACTTGTTAAAGTCTTTCAAACAAGCTGCAGCTGATGACGGCGTGCCCCAAACCATCAGTCAAAGGTCCCAGAACCGGCTCTAGCACTGGCCTACCTTGCTTCATAGCTAGGCCTCGCCTCCTGCACACAGCTCTCCCACAATGGCAACAAGCACACATCTATCAACAACTAAATCTAAAACTCAAAATAAAAAAACAAGAAGTCTAATGAACAAGATGAACTGGTGAATAAAACAGAATCAGAGGCATGAAAGCATGGAACAGACTGATGAATCTCAGAGGGAAGGGGGAAAGGGGGCAGGAAGAGATTAACCAAAGATTTTACCTGTGGACACAGACAGTAGGGTGGTGAAGGCCAGAGGTGGGGTGGGATCCGGGTGGAGGGGGGCAATGGAGGAGGGGGAGGCAACTGTAATACTCTCAACAATAAAGATTAAAAAATAAAATATATTTATTGACTAATTTTAGGGGTGGGGGAGAGAGAGAAAACATCAATTTGTTGTTCCCCTTCTTTATGCATTCATTGGTTACTTCTTGTATGTGCCCTAACCGGGGATTGAACCCACAACCTTGGCATATAGGTAGGATGCTCTAACTAACTGAGCTAACTGGCCAGGGCATGAATGCTAGCATTTTATAGATGATGTGAGTAGACTAGGATATGGATGGTGAATCAACATTGGTGGTCTGGTGGGCAAAATAAAGGACAAGGCTTACAGGGTAATAAGTTTCCATTGTTGTATACAAACATTTTCCCATCTGAGTAAATATTTTATATTAAGTTTGAAAGCAGAAGAAAAAGAGAGAAGGAAAGGAGGAGAAGGAGAAGAAAGGAAAGTTTCAAACCGGTTAATCTTGATGATTCCACGAGAGCGACCAGTCCGCTGTGCTGAGGAGCAAGCCAGTGGTTCTCAATGTGTTGTCCCAGGAACAGGGGCGTCTGCAGCGTCTGAGAGCTTGTTACAAATGGAAATTCTTGGCCTCGCCGTTGACCAGCTGAGTGAAAAAGTCTGGGGCTGGGGCACACTAATTTGTTGTTCAACAAGCTTCGCAGGTGATTCAAGGGTAAGAATCACTGGCCTAAGAAACAGGTTCTAAAACTCACAGAGAGCCCGGCTGGTGTGGCTCAGTGGTTGAGCATCAACCTATGAACCAGGAGATCACAGATTCAATTCCCAGTAAGGGTTGTGCAGAAGGCAACTGATCCATGTTTCTCTCTTATCATGGATGTTTCTATCCCTCCTTCCCACTTCCTCTCTAAAATCAATACACACACACACACACACACACACACACACACACACACACACACAAACTTGCAGGGAGCCTGTTCCTTTTGAAGAGATGCTTGACCTTTTGGATTGTGGCCTGAGCATCCTACATCCCACAAATCTCTAAACGTTCATTATCCTTGGTACCTTTGGCCCCCAAGGAGGAACTCTCAAAGAGTATGTGTTTTTGAGACATTTATAAACTTTTTAACAACTCCCATTGCTCCTTCGGCCCCAGTGGTAATCAGCCCAGTCTCGCTTCCTGAGCCCAGTCCAATCGTTTCTCCCTGAAGATACCGCCTCATCCCCTAGGGTCACACCCATTGTGTGCATGATGTATGGGCAGTGGGTAGGAAACTGAGGCTGCAGGAAAAGGATCTTCCAGAAGATGTAAGACCTGATGCCTCTCTCTCCTTTTGAGAGACCAGGGTTTCCCCAGCTGTAAATAGATCAGCTATAAGAAGGATCCAGGAACACTTGCTGGAGCGTGGGGAGAATAAACACGTGACATGGACTTGATGGGAGTAAGTCTCAAATGTGAAGAGAGCCTCAGGCAGAAATGCAGGGGAATGTGATGTTGAACACTGAGGCCTCAGGTTGCATGTGAAAACCCAGGCTTTTAAGGATCGAGGAAGGCATTGGCCCTGTGGGTTAGAGGGAGGATGCTGAGAGCAAAGGGTAAGGAAATAACACAGTAAAATTTTCCACGTAGTCACTTAGAACAAGATCACATAAATTGCCTACTAACACATTAAGTCAGAAAACGTAAGTATGTTTTTCTACCTTGGATTGATTTACAAAAGCTCGGTAGGGGACTTCTAAGAGTCTGAGTTTTAAGTGGTGGTCACCACATGATCAGAAGATTGCACTGAGGGAGAAACAAGATCAGATTGTGAGTGTAGAAAGATTACTTGACAGCTATCTAGAAAATGGGCTGGAGTGCCAGCAAATGGAAGCAGAAAGATGAGACTAACAAGACTTCTAATAGATTGCAGCAGGCAGCTGGGAGAGGATGGGAGGCTGAGACACGGTGGTGGGGTTGGGAGGCCACTTAGCCTCTCCTTTGTTACCCTCTGTCTCTCATCTTCCATCCCCTTCCCCACTTTGGTCCTGTTCTCTCCCCACCACTTCATTACCTCTCCATTCCCTGGTCATTCACTTGCTCTATTCCTTTATCTCACTTCCTCTTAATCTCCTTTCTTTATTCCTTTGTCTATTCTATGTCTCTCATTTCAACATCATCCTTTGTTTTCTACCCTTGTATTCAGTAACATATTTTAAAATTCTTATTCCTGTCACAGGAGCTCTCTGAGTCCCCTGCATACAATTTTCACCATCATCTATTTCTTAATCCAGAGAATTTCTCTCACCCATCTCTCTTATTTCAGTATATCCACCATGCATGTCCTGTCTTCACTCAGCACGGGGTCACCTACATTAGAAAGTTGCAGGGGGCTCACCTTATAGCTATTGGACCAGGCAGCAGCCAATATCACAAGCTTTTTGAATATTATCTATCAGCAAGATTGGGCACAAATAAACTATAAGATCCACATTTATGTCTCTGGGAACTTACAATAAATTATGGAGGAAAAACACAGACACGTGAAAAGTTCATCAACATTATAATGTGTTCAATGTTGCATGAAAAATGATGGGTAGAAGAATGTATTAGAGACAGGAAGAAGAGAGGGTAGGAGGACTATACAGAGGAGTGTAATTGTCATTTATTATTCCAGGCACTGTTCCAGGAACCTTATGTGTTACTTTATTTCACTCCCTAGACTAGTCTACAAAGAAAACATTTTTATTCTCACCTTACAGATGTGGAAACTGAGATCCAGAGAGATTAAGTAATTTACTGAAAGTCAGATCTCGAGGACATAGCAGCCCTGAAGTTTGGCTGCAGGTCTGTTGGATTCCAAAGCTCTTCCCACCGCTTATTACACTGAATCTTTGAAAGGCAGGCTGCATGTGTCTCTGGATGGCTTTAAGATCTCATAAATATTTATTCCAGCAGCAACTACAAACTCTCCAGAGAGAAGGTCACTTAATCAGCACCTGGTTATACGGTCTGCACATGAGGATGACCAACATATGGACCTGGACAAACCGATTTAGCTCCTGAGCACTGAACGTGACTTCATGTACCTACGTGTTGGTTCACTTTCCTCGGGTGTATGGAAGACACGCCATGGAGTCAGGGAACCTCACCTGGATATCAGAATTTGTCTTCCTGGGGCTCTCACAGACTCGGGAGCTGCAGCTTTTCCTGTTTCTGGTGTTTCTGCTGGTCTACACCACCACTGTTCTGGGAAACCTCCTCATCATTATCACGGTGACCGCAGACTCCCAGCTTCACACCCCCATGTACTTTCTGCTTCGAAACCTGGCTCTCATAGACCTCTGTTTCTCCTCAGTCACTGCCCCGAAGATGCTGGTGGACTTCCTCTCTGAGAAGAAGACCATCTCCTACCTGGGCTGCATGGCCCAGGTCTTCTTCTTCCACTTTCTGGGCGGTGCCATGCTCTTCTTCCTCTCCGTGATGGCCTATGACCGCCTCGTTGCCATCTCCCGGCCCCTCCACTATGTCACCATCATGAACACTCAGCTCTGTGTGGGGCTGGTGGTGGCTGCTTGGGTAGGGGGCTTTGTCCACTCCATTACCCAACTGGCTCTGATGCTCCCACTGCCTTTCTGTGGCCCCAATGTCCTGGATAATTTCTACTGTGATGTCCCACAAGTACTGAGACTTGCCTGCACGGACACGTCCTTCCTAGAGCTCCTCATGATCTGCAACAGTGGGTTGCTGGATATCATCTGGTTCCTCCTCCTCCTGGCCTCGTACATGGTCATCCTGGTGATGCTGAGGTCCCATTCGGAGCAGGCCCGGAGGAAGGCAGCGTCCACCTGCACCACCCACATCGTCGTGATGTCTATGGTCTTCATTCCAAGCATCTACCTCTATGCCCGGCCCTTCACTGCCTTCTCCATGGACAAGGCTGTGTCCATCAGCCACACCGTCATGACCCCCATGCTCAACCCCATGATCTACACCCTGAGGAACCAGGAGATGCAGGCGGCGGTGAAGAGGTTAGGGAGACAGTGCCTGGTTTGTAAAAAGGAGTGACAGTGGGTAGGTCACTTCTCTTTGGCTTTGTTTTCCATTTGTAGAGTGGACAGAGAGCTAGTATCTCTTCTCTTCATAACTGGCGGATATGTGGAGAGGGTCACTGTAGAAATGAGTGAGCTCTGAGACGAAGCAACTTACTCAGATTTTTAGGCAAAGGAAAATTTCTTTGTTTTGGATTGTGATACATGATTTGAACACTCCCATGACAATAAAGTATATTCCCATGGAAACATTCTGGAAAGTCACTCCCTCCTTTCCACCTTCTTGATGGACAGTTTCCTTCTGTGATGACAGCATTTCTCCATAAGAGCTGTTCTGTTTTCTGTATTTTGACCTCTTTTTCCAATTCCCCTTTTGGTCATTGTCCAGAGTGATAGAGCAAGTGCAGAGCCTGGAGACTTAGCCCTAAATTACGGGCCCATGTTCCATTACCTACCAAACGTGTAACCTTGGCTGAGCCACCTGGCCTCTCTTGCACTTACAGTTTCTTTCTTAATGAGCTGGCATAAAACAGTATCTGTTCCTACAATCTCACAGATTTGTTATAAGATTCAATATGAAGTCAATCATCGAACCTATGTAAGGATTAATGTTATTGTTACTATTAGGCCTGGCATTTATCCTTTCATCAGTTGAGTAGTGTTTTGGAAGTAGGGCAGAAATTGGAAGTAAGTGCAGTGAAGGTGGAGGCTGAATTCCAAGGGTTCACGCAACTTCCCCAAGGGTGAGACAGAGAAGAGAAAGCACATAAATTCAGGGCATGTATGCAAGACTCTGACTTCTTAGTACTGCTATTCCACTACCTACCCCCCATTTTCAGACTCTACAAACAGGAATGGGAGGTCCATTCATTTGTTCATTCATTCATATTTGTGAATATGCATTTGGGACCTGATATAGTTTTCTAGGAAGGGCTCTATAACAGTTCGTGGGCTCTTTATCTCCTTCTTCCTCCTACATTGATAAATATCCTCTCTATATCCACCTTCCCTTTTCACTCTCTCCCTCCCTACTTTGATTTCGCCCTGTTTAGTCTTGGCATCCCTCTGGCATCCCTCTCCCACTTCACTGTTACGCCTAGTTTCCTCTCTGCTTTAGACCCCTTGCCCAAGGTACCCAGGGTGGTACTGGCTCCCAGGCCAGCTCACCAAGGCCCCATGGTAAGTTTTTTCTGGTCTTGCTAAAAACAGAACAACCAGCCCTAGCTGGTTTGGCTCAGTGGATAGAGTGTCAGCCTGTGGACTGAAGGGTCCCAGCTTTGACTCCTGGTTAGAGCACCAACCTGGATTACGGGCTCGATCCCCAGTAGGGGATATGCAAGAGACAGCCAATCAATGATTCTTTCTTGTCATTGATATGTCTACCTCTCTCTGCCACTCCCTTCCTCTCTGAAATCAACAAACAAACAAACAAACAAACAAACCAGAACAACCCGCCTCTCTCAGGAGAGTCCCCAGCACTGGAACATGTACATACAAACATGCACACATGTGCACACACACCTGGCCTGTCCCAGCCTCCACCCAGTGACCTCAGTGTTCTTGTCATGAGATTAGGTGCAAGGACCCCATTCCCAGGAACCCCTAGGAACAAGAGCAGGCCCACCAGGCCCTGGGCCCTGCGCCACTGCAGCTGTCTCCAGGGGGGCCGTTGGAGCTGAGAGATAATGAGATCCAATCAGGCCTGTGGCCGGAGGACAGTTTTTGTGAAAGTGGTTGCAGAACGCTGAGGTTTTGAGGTTGGCAGGGGAAGGCGGGAAGAAGGTTCTTGGGTATTACAGCTGAAAGATGCCAGGGAGGGAAGGTTCCTGCGTGGTCTTGGGTCAGAGCCTCAGCCTGGTAGGACCAGTCTCTGCAAAGGTGTCCACTGACCCAGGCTGGCCTGACCCAGAGCGAACACTGCCCCTGACCAAAGGCACCAGGTCCTAACAGATGTACAAGCACAAACCCAGCGCCTCACCCAAGAGCTGAGACAGGCAAGGTCACCGCAGATGCATCCATCCCACAGATAGGCACTGAGGCCCTGCCAGGTGCTGAGGCCACAGTGAGCAATGTGACAGGCACACAGCTATTGTGTGTGGCACTCACAGACCTGCAGGGAGCTGTAGCTTCACCAGAGCCACCCACAGACATACACGTGTAAATAATCAGTGATGTTAAGTTCTGTGAAAGAAGCTGTAAGAGTAAGGACCAGGGAGACCTAGATACTTGTTTTGGACAGGAAAGGCTTCCTATGGAGGGGTCCTGGAGGGTCAGCAGGAGTCTCCAGACACAAAACGGGAAGGGTCTTCATGGCTGAGATCCATAGCAGGTAGGATAGGCCCATTGCAGGAGCTGAAAGCCAGAGGGCTTAGAGGGCAGAGGAGTAGAGAGAGGAGACGGGGCTCTGGAGAGGGGAGGTGGCAGGAGCGAGACTGAGCTGGGGCCCCTTCTTTAGGAGAAGCTGCACGGAGGCCAAGGTGTGTTGGCAGAGGGAACAGTAAGCTCATGGGACCCGTGGTTTCCAGTCCCTCAGGCCACATAGTCCTATGGCCTCAGGGAGAGCGGGAGAGCTAGCTGGCCAGGACCCTGATCCCTGAGGATGCCCCCATCCTTCCTCTTGCCCCCTTATTCACAGTTTCTAAGCAGCCTTGTCTCCTCCTGTCACCCGAGGGGTCTTTTTGATGTGTCCCATTACAAATTTTTTCTTCCTATGTGGCTCGGTCTTGGAATCTGATTTGCAAATGGAAAAAGGGGCTCTACTGCATGACTCCCCAGCCCGAGGTCCAACCAGGCCCGAGCCTGTACACTTCAGATGAAGGCATCTGTGCTCCTTATCCTTCAAGCAGCTCTGAATTCTACGTGGACGCCACTTCTCAGTCCCACGGTGGCTCCCTCGGACACACGCATCAGCTCTGAGAGTGGAATCAGGATTGGAATCCTCTGAGCTGGCGGCGGCGGCTACGCGTCACGCCTCCCGTCCCAGGCAGCGATGCATGTTCGTGCGTTTAAACAGCCGATGTGAACGGCGATCACACAGCGATGGTGAAGATGAAGAGACAGGAATGGATGTCTTTCAATTCTGTCACGCCACATGACCCTGTGGAGTTATAATTTGTGTTTCAAATTTAAATCATTGAAACAGAATGCAGCCGAGACTGGTTTGGCTCAGTGGATAGAGCGTCGGCTTGGGGACTGAGGGGTCCTGGGTTCGATTCCGGTCGGGGGCATGTGACTTGGTTGTGGGCATATCCCCAGCAGGGGGTGTGCAGGAGGCAGTTGATCGATGACTCTCTCTCATCGATGTTTCTAACTATCTCTCTCCCTTCCTCTCTGTACAAAATCAATAAAATATATATTTTTTTAAAAAAGAAACAGAATGCGAACTGCTAAGGATCATATTTTTAACTGTTAATTTTACTTCATACATGTCGATTTTGCTGAATTTGAATATCTTTGCCATTAAAACGTATCCTTTAAAAAATGTTATTTAAAAAAATATTGAGAAAACGGAAACTGGCCTGGCAGGGGTGGAGGCGGGAGGGTGCTGTGTGTGGAGGATTCAGGTGGCCGGGCTAGGGGCAGGGCCCTGTGGCAGGGCAGGCAGCAGAAAGCAGGCTAAAGGGGCAGGACTCCAGGCGGCAGATGCTAGCGTCCCTTTGGTTCCTTTGCCTGAATTTCTGCCTGCCAGTCCTCCCCAGCCATGCCCGGAAAGCCCACCCTCCATAGGCTGGTTGTATAGGGCCCCTCGGCAGCCCCTTTCTATCTGCTTGTCTCTCATCAGCACCTCGAACAGATCAGCCAATATGGCAGGCAGGATCTAGAGCCCAGGGCCCTGTCTCCGGCTTGTCCCAATAACCTGCAGCAGCCCCCGCTGTGGCAAACCCCTGCACACTCACTACTCTGAGCTAGAGTGCTCTAGGAGGGCAAGCAGCGCTCACGCTGAGTTCTCCTTTGCGGGTGCTGGCAGGTAGGCAACCTAGGTCCCACCCTGGCTGCCAGCCTCCTGGGAGTACCTGGCTCCCCAGGTCCTAAAGGGGAAGCACATTTGAGGAGGAAGCTCCCACTTTTTAACTCTCTCTCCTTCCTGAGGCTCCCTGTCCCTGTGTCACAGAGGTGGACGCTGAGGTCCAGGGAGTGGGGTGGTTCACCCCGAGCCATGCAGGGGGTAAGCGCACTTTTGGCACCTCCACGGAGATGAGACTTTCCATCCCGGCCCCCTGTTAGCAGGAGAGGGGCCCCTGCTGAAGATAAGGAGATAAGATCAGGGCCCAGGCCTTCAACTGGAGCTTGTGAAAGGGATTGCTGAATGGGGCTGTTTCAAGAGCAACTGTCAGGCAGGGCATTGGTGTGGGCGGAGGGGGCTGCCGAGGCCTGGGGCTGGGTTTAGGTAGGGCATGGGGGATAGAGGGTGAGAGTCAAGGACACTCAGATGGGACTAGAGGCAGAAATGCAGGCAAAGGGACTAAAGGGGACGCTAGCATCTGCTGCCTTCAGCCTGCTTTCTGCTGCCCACCCTGCCACAGGGCCCTGCCCCCAGCTCCTGCCCCCTGAATCCTCCACACATAGCACCCTCCCGCCTCCACCTCTGCCAGGCCAACTTCTGTTTTCTCGAATGATTTTCTTTTTTTTTTTTGTTTTAAAAAAAAAAAAAAAACATTTAAAAAAGGATAAGTTTTAACGGCAAAGATATTCAAATTCAGTAAAATCGCCATGTATAAAGTAAGATTTGCACTTAAAAATACCATGCTTAGCAGTTTGCATTCTGCTTCCATGTTTTAAACACAAATTATGACTCCGGATAGCTCTGCTGGGAGTCTGGAGCAGGGACCGGGATGGGCAGGTCCACCTGAAGACGCGGGGAGGACAGGCAGGCTGCAGAGCTCGCGGGTGGGGCTGATTCTGGAGCCCAGTATGGACGGATGAGCACCAGTTCCCCAGGGAGACCAGGCTGGGGTCATGCAGAGGGTGAACCTGGCTCCTGCAATGGTGGGAACTGCAGGAGGCAAGATAAGAGGGTATGAGAGGGCCTGTCGCTTGAGGGGAAAGACCCACTGGGATGTTCTACCCTTAAGATATGGAAATGAAGGCTTAGCCTAGGTCCCACAGGTAGTGACGGAGCCAGACCCAACCCAGGTGGCCCTGAGCCCCTGCAGCAAGCCTCCTCCGGGGAGGCCCGACAGGAAGTCAGAATTTACACCTGCTGCTCAGCGCCCACCTCCTACTGCTAAGCACTTACATTCGAGAAGGAGCAGGAAGCCCGACAGGTCCTCAGCGGTGATGGAGGATGGAGGCGGCTGCCACTGCTCTGCTGGGTGCTTTACTGGGACATCTCACGGTGTCCCCAGATGACCTCATGAAACAGACCCTTAATTTTCGGGCCCCGACTCAGTCATCTCTCCACTGGCATCTTGGAGGGAAGCTGGTAGGGTAGGGAGTAAGGGGCAGGGGCTGAATCATTCATCTTTCATCATGAATTTACTCAACAAACGTTATTGAGCACCTGCTGAAGGCCAGGCCTTGTGCTGGGTGGGGCGGTGAGGGTATGGGGAGATACCACAGTGAGGCAGACCCAGTCTCTGCCCTGTTGGGCCGGGAGAGGAGCGTTTCCAGTCATCTGGCCCAGGCCCCATGTTAGGGATGTGGACACGGAGTGTGGGTAGTGACCATACAGCTCGTGAGTGGCAGGACCAAGCCCGGTCCTCTGCTGAGGGGCACCCAGCAAATATCCCCTGAGAGACATGTGCAGGATCAGTGAACTCGGCAGCAGAGAGGGTGGGACGCGGAGTGGACAGGAGGGAAGGGGGCCTCTAGGCTGGTTGAGTGGCAGGGTTGGGTGGGGATTTCAGTCTCACAATCCCCCCCGCCTCCCCGCATCCCCCCTAAGAGGGAAGTTCTAGAGCTCCACCTCAAGAGGTTGCTTCTGGGGCCCAGAGCTCCCCCGCCCCCCCCCCCCCCCCCCGAGGCTGGATATAAAAGTCCCTTCCCGGCTGCTTTGGAGGAGGAGCAGGAGGGCCGCCAGAATGCACCGCTCGGGTGTTGGTCGTGCTGCTCGCTGCCCCGCTGTGGCTCAGGGTCTCACTGCGGAGAGGAAACTGCTCCTGGCCCTGGCAGGGCTCGTCCTCACCCTCGTCCTGGCCCAGCCTTGTGAGGCCACCGCCCCAGGTAACAGCCCCTTGGACAGCCGCGGAGAAGGGCAATGGAGGGGGAATTGCTTGGGCCTGGGGGGCTGTTACCTGCCCGTCTCCCGGCTCCTGAGTCTCCTTCCCTCGCTGAGCAGCTTCCCCCGGGGCCGTGGAGACCTCGGTCCTCCAGAGCTGCATCGCAGAGGCCAAGTTCCTGGTGGATGCCGCCTACAACCAGACTCAGAGGAGGTAGGTCTGAGTCTGGGGTCTGTGTGGGCCTGGGGAGGGTCGAAGAGGGAGGGTGGGCTCCAACCAAGGTCATCGCACCCATCACCCTGCACCACGGGGGCACCACGGGGGCAATGCCATGTTGGTAGAGACCCTCCCTTCCATCTGTCTGTTCACACGGTCCCGACTGCCCCCCCTCTCCCCCCCGCCTGGGATGGGGCTCTGCCGGGTGGCTCTGCTTCCTTAAGTCAGCTCCCCCTCCCCCTCCTCTCTTCTGGGCAGCATCAAGCAGCGCCTTCAGAGTGGTTCTGCTCGCCCCACGGACCTCCTGTTCTACTTCAAACAGCCGGTAGCGGCCACCAGGACAGTCACCCAGGCTGCTGACTACATGCACGTGGCCTTGGGGCTGCTGGAGGAGAAGTTACAACGCCAGGAGCCCAGCTCCTTCAATGTCACTGGTACCTTGCTCCCCACGGAGCCCCTGGCCTGGGAGAGGAAGGCAGGCAGGAGGGGGAGGGGGTGCACAGCTCTGAGGTGTCGGCAGGGGAGAGGGTAAGGGGATGGGAGGGAGGTACAGAATAGTCCACCTCAGGAAGGTGCCAGGAGCCTGCATCCAGGGCTCTACCCGCCTGCTCCCCCCCCCCCCCAGATATGCTGACGGAACCCCAGCTGTGGCTGCTGTCCAAGGCCAGTGGCTGCACCGCCCAGAGGCAGGAAGAGAAGTGCAGTGACAAGTACCGGACCATCACGGGGAGATGTAATAACAGGTGGGAGCGAGGGGCTGCCCCTGTCCCGGGAAGGGGGGGAGGAGTCTCCCTGCCCTCCCCTCCCCTCCCTGGATGCTGAATGGCCTCCACCTGCTGACCTGAGCGCACCCCCTGCCACAGGAGGAGGCCCTGGCTGGGGGCCTCCAACACCGCCCTGGCCCGCTGGCTGCCTGCGGAGTACGAGGATGGGCTGTCGCTCCCCTACGGCTGGACCCCTGGCAAGAGGCGCAATGGCTTCCTCCTCCCGCTTGTGAGTAGGGACTGAGGACACGGAGGATGCTTGATCTCGGCTAAACTTGTGGTGAAGGGGTGGAGGGAGGGGGTGAAAGCACAGCCCAGAAGCCCAGAGTCAGTCAGCAGATGGGAACCCAGGCTCTCCCTCTGGCCGGCTGGGTGACTTTGGGCAGGGAATAGCGCCGAGTCTCTGTTTCCTCATCTGTAAAATGGCAGCAAAACCTGGTTCATGGTGCTGGCATGAATATTAAATAAACACCCATATATGATAGAATTTAATGCCAGCCATTATTATATTTTTTTCCTAAAAGAATTAAGGCCAAAGTATCTTGCTAAATTCAGGGGTGAGCAAAAGTAGGTTTACAGTTGAGTATGAATTTAAACAGAATTAATTCTTGTATTGTCTATTAATCATTGTATTACTAATTTGTATTACAACTATCAACCTACTTTTGCCCACCCCTGTATAAAGAGCTATACATCTTCATCTACTGATAAGTGTGCTATTTCACACTTATCAATTTATATTCATATGTCAATATAACAACCTATCAACATATATTTATTAATTTTTCTTCTATTGATCTATCCATTCTCTCTACATTATCCATTACCTAACAGCCAATCCCTGCACCTATCAATCATCTCTATCATCCAGTTTCTATCAGTTTATAAATTAATCTACCTGTTTGACGTAATAACCTCTCTGGAAATGCTGGTGGAGTCTGAGCCAGCCAGCCTGGCCTCTCCCCTTCTCTTTCCTCCCGGAGCCCCCAGGAGCCAGGCCAGAGTCCATCCCTCCGGGAATGACAGCCAGGGGGCGGGACCAAGTAGGAAAGGCGAGGAGAGACTGTGTTAACTCTGGCAGAGGCAACCTGCTGCCCCCCGAGTCCTGGGTTTCAGGGCCCAGAGCCCACCCCCTACACTGACCTCTCTTCCCTCCAGGTCCGGGCCGTCTCCAACCAGATCGTGCGCTTCCCCCAAGAGAGGATGACCCAGGACCGGAGCCGGGCCCTCATGTTCATGCAGTGGGGCCAGTTCATCGACCACGACTTGGACTTCTCCCCCGAGACCCCAGCCAGAGTGGGCTTCGCTGGAGGCGTTGACTGCGAGAGGACCTGTGCCCAGCTGCCTCCCTGCTTCCCCATCAAGGTACCCCCAGCCCATCTCCCGGCTCCTGGCCTCCATGCTGGGCCAGAGCTAGGGCGGGCATCTGGAAGGCTTAAGTACCATCCCGAAGGCACTGTCCGTGATGCTGGAGTACCAAAGACAGGAAGCGCAGCCCGCTATGCACTCCGGTTCTTTGCGGTGTGAGGGGTGGGGTGGGACAATCTGCCAGGAGGTTCGGTGCAGGCTCCAGGGAAGGGGAAGCAATGCAATCGAGAGACTGGCTTTGACCCGTAGGTCTGATCCTGGTGGTGGAAGCCTTGGCTGCTGTTTTTGGGTCTCTTACCTCTCAACTTCTCTCCTTCCTGGGGTGGGTGGTGAGCAGGGAGCTGTCCTTCAGGCCAGGAGGCAAGGGTGGTGTGGAACACCAGAAAGGAGAGGATGCACTCCAGGGAGCAGAGCCTCTGCGTGTGTGTGTGTGTGTGTGTGTGTGTGCGCGCGCGCGCGCACGCGTGTATGAGGGGGGGGACACACCTCCACACACACCCCCTCACTCCTGCACTTGCCCTGACAGGTAAGGGGATATCCATGGGGCATGACCTGTGAGGGCCCCTGGCCGGCTCCTCCCTGATGTAACTTTGCCCGTTCTTCAAGCTCTGGCTCAGGGGCACCTCCTCTGGGAGGCCTTCCCGAATCTTCCTATGTCACCTGTCACTTTTGGCTTTTAGATCAAGCATAGCAAATGGCACATCGATTTAGAGTTACACTCTCTATGTATGTGTTTGTTTTCAACTGAATCACGAGCTTCCTGCAACCTGTATTGTTGGGCTTTGCTGATTTTCCTATCTCCCGAGCACCTGGCATTAGAAAGGTGCTTAGGAAACATGTTGAATGGAGTGGAATGAAAGGAGCCCAGGCCTGTCAAGAGAACTAGGTTTCAATATTTCCTCTCCTGCTAACGAGTTGTCACTTCCAGTCTCCAAGCCTCAGTTTCCCCACTGGGAAAATGAGGACCTAAAGGTTTCATCCATTTCTAATCTTTCACGAATCTGTGATACAAAGTACTGAGGACATTCAAATCGACCTGGTGAGCAGTGTGAGTCTGGATGAGTCAAGAAGGGCTTCCTGAAGGAGGAGACGTTTAAGCAGGGTTTTGAAGCCAGTGTGGGAGGACCAAGAAGGATGAGCTTGCTCTTAAGGGGCCCCCAGTGTCACCGTCTCCCTCTTGCCCCTCAGATTCCGGCCAATGACCCCCGAATCAAGAACCAGAAAGACTGCATCCCCTTCTTCCGCTCGGCAGTCATATGCCCCAATAAGAGGAACATCATCCGGAACCAGATCAACTCCCTCACCTCCTTCGTGGACGCCAGCATGGTGTACGGCAGCGACGTCTCCCTCGCCCTGCGCCTTCGCAACCGGACCAACTTCCACGGGCTCCTGGCCGTCAACCAGCGCTTCCGAGACAACGGCCGGGACCTGCTGCCCTTCGACAACCTGAACGAAGACCCCTGCCTCCTCACCAACCGCTCCGCACGCATCCCCTGCTTCCTGGCAGGTCAGGCTTGGGGGCGGGCGGTGTCTTCCTGGGACGCTGCCAGCCCGGGGCTCTGGGTTGGGAGGCCCTGGGGGGAGGTGGTGGGGGTACAGGTCCTTCAGCATTAGGCACGCCATAGAACAGATGAACGTGCAGCTGTCGTAGGACCCGAGGTTGCTGGGAGACCCTTGGCAAACACCTATCTCCAGCAGTGCTGACTTTTCAGAGAGGTCCTCCCATTTTGATCCAGCATCCACCTATTGCTCTTCGTGTTTCTGGAACTGCAGAGAAGGAGCTGTCTACCCTTCACTCACTATGGCTCTGTACTTGAAAGAAGCTTTAGTTTCACCTACTTTTTTTTTTTTTTTTTAATCCTCTCTGGGTTTTTACTCCCCATCCGTCATCCCCAACTGTTGCTAGACACTGGTACTTGGTACCTTCTTCCAGATGCATAATTGGAACCCCCCTCGGGCGCTTTGCCCCCCCCCCCCTCCAGGCATCCTTCCTGGTGATTTAAGACACTTAAATGTGCCCTCTCCCATCTTACAGCAGCCATGACAGGAGGCCACTGTGATCACCCTCATTTTACAGACAAGAAAGTGGGGCGCAGGGAAGATGACTCATGTGCCCAGAGCACAGAATTCAGATGGCAGAGTCCACAGAGGGCACTGCGGTCAGTTGAGCACCCAGGTCTGTGCTCTGTCCACGCTGTGCCACCGCCTTCTCCTCAGAGAGTTGGCTGCAGCCCCCTTTTTAAAGACTGCATTTAAAAAAATATATATGGACTGATTTTGAGAGAAACATCTCAGAATTTGTTGTTGAATTGGTTACTTGTTGTATGTGCCCTGACTGGGAATCAAACTCACAACCTTAGTGTAAGGCTCTAACTAGCTGAGCTACTGACCAGGGCAAGATTGGTTTTTTGTTTTGGGTTGTTGTTTTTTTGTTTGTTTTTTTGCACTTTCATGAGAGGCTTACTGAAAAGTGGATTAAGTAAGACCTTGTACAAAAAGACTTAATAGTTCAAAACCAGGCCACTTTCAGGGATTTACTTTGCCTCCTGGTCTCTAGGAGAAAAGGTCTAGCTACAGAAAGAGGCTCTGCCCAACCCTCCCTCTTGCATGATGGCAATTCCAAAGCTGTGGAAGATCCCGCCCTGGACAGAGAACATGCAGTTCCTTGGGATGGGGGATCATAGTCCCCAAATCAAGGTTCCTAGAGTCATCCAGGTCTCTGCACCAGCTGAGGATCTGACCATCTTGTGGAGTAGAATTATTCGGCAATGACTCTCCTGCCCGAGGCTGGCAGCTGCCCTGAGCTTTTCTCCCCACGCCCGCACCTGTTCCAATTGCTTAAGGATGCGAGACCCACTGTCTTCCCACTCCTGACCCGTCGTATTAGGGAAGAGGGTGGTGGTCAGTGAGTGGCCTAACAGCTGAGGAAATGGAGGCTGAGTGAGGGCCAGGAGCCTGACCCAGGTCAGAAAGTCCCACCACCTTTGACTAGTCCCCAGAACTCTGCCCTAGCAGAAAGACATTTCTCTGGGAAGGGCGATGGTGACTCTGAACTTGGGGTTTTCAAGGTGACGCTCGATCAAGCGAAAACCCGTCGCTGACAGCCATGCATACCCTCTTCATGCGAGAGCACAACCGGCTGGCTACTGAGCTGCGACGCCTGAATCCCCGGTGGACTGGAGACCAGCTCTACCAGGAGGCCCGGAAGATCGTGGGGGCCATGGTCCAGGTAGGCAGCCCAGGGGTCCCAGCATCCCCTAGAGGAAATCTGGTATGAGAAGCATCTGGAAAAGTGGCTCCCACCTTCCTTAACACACCCTCGGGGATGTGCCTCAGGTAAGTCAGGTCTGAGTGTGTATGCCTGAGATCGGACCTGTACCCTCAATTCCACCACCAACTCATGGCGTGAGCCTCGCCGTGCCATTCAGCTCCCCCCCCCCCCCCCCCGGCTTCAGTGCCTCATCAGCCAATGGGAAATTAATGTTGCAACATCTGACATGATAGACATTCAAGAATGTATGTCTGAGGAGCCCTCGGAAAAGCCAAAGGTCTGTCCAAAGGTAAAGGAATGGGCTAGGCAGCCGTTAAGGTCATTTCTTCCTGCGTCTTCTCTTCTAGATCATCACCTACCGGGACTTTCTGCCCAAGGTTCTGGGCCAGGCCCGAGCCAGGAGAACCCTGGGGCGCTACTCGGGGTACTGCCCCAACGTGGACCCTCGCGTGGCCAACGTCTTCACCCTGGCCTTCCGCTTCGGGCACACCATGCTCCAGCCCTTCGTGTTCCGCTTGGACAGCCAGTACCGGGCCTCAGCGCCCAACTCACGGGTTCTGCTCAGCTCTTCCTTCTTTGCCAGCTGGCGAGTCGTGCATGAAGGTGACCAGGTTTTCCAGGGGCAGATGGGAGTGGGGTTGGGGAGCACACCCCCAATCTAGTTGGGCCAGGCCTACTGCCAGGAGGCCAGCTGCTGCTCAGGCCACTGCTAATCATCTCCCCAGGACAGTGAAAACAAGGCGGGGGCCACGAGGACCCTCAGTCCCGGGTTTCCCATCCCCTTTGGGATTGGGGATTTCTAAAAGGGGAGGAGATTAATGTCAGACTGGTGGCTTGTGGGCCTGAAAGAAGCTTGCCTTCTACTCCTTTAAGAAGTAGGGATGACCCCTTTCCCTGACAGCACCAGCTCTCCTCCTGTCCGCCCAGGCCTCTGCTTTCTGAAATAATCGTCCCAGAATAAGAGTGACTGGCTTACCCAGCGCTGAGCTACTCGGGCCTCCTGTGGTGACTCAGGAGCTTCCCAGAGGTTGTTCCAATCTGTGCTGCTCTCATTCCCCGCCATCAGGTGGCATCGACCCCATCCTCCGAGGCCTCATGGCCACCCCCGCCAAGCTGAACCGGCAGGATTCCATGTTAGTGGATGAGCTCCGGGACCGGCTGTTCGAGCAAGTGAGAAGAATCGGGCTGGACCTGGCGGCTCTCAACATGCAACGCAGCCGGGACCACGGCCTCCCAGGTGAGGGGCTGCCCACCCCTCCAGCAGCCTGCTGCTGGTGGTGTGGAGGGGACAGGTTTCAGAGCAGGTCCTGGGTGCCTCCTCTCTGTCTGGGGCTGTCTACAGTCTGAGCTGTGGCTCCGAGGCAGGCGAGGCAGAGGGTGATGCGGAAGAACATTTCTCAGACTGCCTTTTTGCTGTCCTGCCACGTCTCCGCCTGTTGCAGGGTCTGCATCTTTGGGTTCACAACAGGACCAGGCCTTGGGCTCAGGAGATGAGCAAAGGTAGTCTGGAGTTTCCAAGTAGAGAGAAACAGACATAAAAGGCAGGGATGAACCGCTCCATTCCCCAACACCCTGGCAAGTTCCAAGGAGAAAGACCCAAGTTCCAGGGACAGAGAAACTGGCTCTAAGCGGAGAAAGGCCGAGCCTGAGAGGCAGGGAGTGGGTGGAGTAAAACGAAGGCTGCCTTGGCGGCTTGGCGAGGATACAGAAAGCTTTATCGAATTAGGCACTTTCATGGATATAACTCATTTAGTCTTTCCAGTGACCACGGTCATTTATAGAAAAGGAAATAAGCTCAAAGACATCCGGTCCTTTGCCCAATGCCACATAACTAAGGAGGAGTAAAATGTAAATCAAATTCAGAGTTTCTCTTTTCTTCCCCCCTGTTCAATCCGCCATGTCAGGGGAAGGCTTTGACCACCACCTTGTTCCTCTCCCTCTCCCCACCTGCTTTCCTGTCTACCTACAGCCTGAAGCTCTGTCTGCCTCAACTAATCTTTGTGCTATAACGGAGTGGGAGGGATTCCTACTGCACCTAACGCAGCACCTTGCTGGCACACAGCGAGCACTGAAGAATCAGTTTCTTTCCTCCATTATACTTGGGTGCCCCCTGCTGGAGAACTGAGGTTGTTAACCACTAAGGTGCCTCAAAGAGATATTTTGTCCCCCAAATACCTGTTCCCGGCAAGCCGTCCCAGAAATATTTTCCTGATACTGTCTCTTACAGTCTATTCTAATTCCTTCCCAAATCCGACACCAAATTAGGAATGGGAAGATATGGTTTGAAGTCCACTTACTAGTAAACATCATGGTTGCTTAAGCTCAACAAGTATCCACTAATAAAATGGTAATGACAAAGGTGTTGTGAGGATCCTGAGAGATATACACGCACCAGAGCTTAGTAATGGTAAAGCATGACATGGCTTTCCTTTGTTCGGCTGGGGGATGGTGTTGTGAGCTGTAGGTCAATGGATGAAGTTGGGGTAGTATCCCTTCAGATTATGGCAAAGCCATCATAGGTTGATGTTCCCACACATCACGTGGCCTGATCCTGGTGTGAGATCCTGATAGCTGAGAAATCAGCCTGGCTAGTCTTTGGAAGTGTCTGAGTAGGTGAAAAATTCAAATAATTGCTTTACTGAGATATAGTTAACATCTAAAATTCACCCTTCGAAAGTATGCAATTCAATGACTTTAGTATAGAGTCATGCATCGATCATCATATCTAATATCTTTCATTCACAAAAGTAATAGCAGTCAATCACCACTTCCACCCCAGCCCCTGACAATCACTAATCTACTTTCTGTCTCTACCTATTTGCCTAGTCTGGACCTTTCATATAATGGAACCACACAGTGTGAGGTCCTTTTCTGAGTAAATTTGATCCCTTCTTTTCATTTCTTGTTTTGTTCACTCCCTTATTTCATTCACTCATTCTCAAACCCTTTTGTGTCCTGGGTACTGTCTCCAGCGTCACGCACTCCTCAGGCTGATGCACACAGAGCATGGTTGCCGGCTGGCGTTTGGTCTTTGGCTCAGGGCCTCTCCCTGCCTGCAGCGCTCTTGTTCTGCCAGATATCGCCAGACCCAGAGCTCTCAGGAGAAACGTGGAGAGAAGCAGAAGCTAATGGGAGGACAGCAGGGGTAAGACCGAAACTGCTTCTGCCCCCTTCTCCTCAGGGTACAATGCTTGGCGGCGCTTCTGTGGGCTCTCCCAGCCCAGGAATCTGGCACAGCTTAGCTGTGTGCTGAAAAACCGGGATTTAGCAAGAAAGTTCCTGAATCTATACGGGACTCCTGACAACATTGACATCTGGATTGGGGCCATCGCAGAGCCGCTTCTGCCAGGGGCCCGTGTGGGGCCTCTTCTGGCTTGTCTTTTTGAGAACCAATTCAGAAGGGCCCGCACTGGAGACAGGTAAGTGACCCAGCCCTAAAGAAACCAGCCCCCGCGAGGGGAAGAGAAGCACTAACATTTAAAGACCCAACAATGGAGGAGAGGGCTCTTTTTAGCTTCATTTCTTTCAAATTCACAAGACCTGCCTGAGACCAGGAGGCTCCGGGAGAGCCTGGTCAGAGGGAGAGACCCCTGACCCAGGAAGGCGGTGCTGCCTGAGCTGAAGGCACCTTTAACCCAGGAGACTTCTCGGCCTCCTCGCTATTCCAGGCTAAAGGATCCCGGAAAACATGGGCAGGAAAGGCTAACCCTGGTTTCCCTCCTATAAGCTTGTGGTTTAAGACTGGGCTTCTTATGTGGATAGGACCTTCACCTAGGTTCAAATCGAGCCCTGGCCACTTAAATTAATATTGGGCAATTTACTTGACCACTGAACTGGTTTCTTCATTTATAAAATAGGAATAATACCTATTTTGCAGGAACTTTGTGAGAATGGAATGACATAATGTACCTGGCACACAGCAGGTGCTCATTATACTTTCATCCACATTTCTCCACTGTCTTGGCAGGTTCTGGTGGGAGAAACCAGGTGTTTTCACCAAGAGGCAGCGCAGGGCCCTGAGTCAGATCTCCTTGTCTCGAATTGTGTGTGACAATACCGATATCACCATGGTTCCGAGGGACATCTTCAGAGCCAACACCTACCCCCAGGACTTTGAGCACTGCAACAGAATCCCCAGATTGAACCTGTCAGCCTGGAGAGGCAAATGAGGCTTCTGCAGGTAAGGGGAGGCCCTCCTCAGAGAGCCCTGGGCTGGGCCAGGCCCTCACTTCCTCCCCCAGATGGGATGGCGGAGTCCTCTTAGGCTAAGGTGACCAGATGTCCAGGTTTTGGCGGGACAGTCCCAATTTTTAACAATTTGTCTTACATCCTGTGGCGTTTTTAAAAAGTCCCGATTTTTAGAAAGAATCTTTTAAAGTCCACTTTGGGACTTTTTTTAAAACGCCGCGGGACAAATTGTTAAAAATCGGGACTGTCCTGCCAAAAGTGGGTCATCTGGTCACCTTATCTTAGGCCTATCAGCAGGGATAACAGGGGACAAGGTACTCGTTCCATACAGGGATTCCCAGTATGCTAGTTTCTGGCTCCTGGGGTGAAAGTTAATCCCACGCAGGGCCTAGAACTTTGGGGGAGAGGGGTAGGAGCATGGGTAGGAAGTGTCCAGCTAGCCTTGGCTTAGTCATCAACACCCTAAAACAGCTAATTTCTGGATGTCCAACAATTCCTCACATGTCCACTTCTGCTGCTTCCACAGGCCTCCATCCCAAGCCTCTAACCCTGGAGACAGGGAACCAGGGAAGACTACAATTTTACCCTCCTCCCTGCCGTACCCCCTCCCCCAGCAATCATATCCTGCTGATGCTTTCACTGGCGACAGCTCCGAGTTTGTTCTTTGGCTGGGAGCAATGAGCCCACCTGCCTTGGGAGCCAAGCATGGAGGTCTTGAGGCCCACGTAAGAAGTCACCTGGAGGGTTTCCAGACATATTTCCCAGCCCATCCCTGACCTCTGTCCATGGTCCCTGCCTCCAGCCACCCTACAGAGTCCACTCCAGAGACCACACAGTCCCTGCCTCCAGCCACCCCAGAGTTCTCCTCGGGAGCCTGTAGGCTGAGTGACAATAAAGCACTGTTTCTGCCAATAAAGCACTACTGAGGGCAGGAGCTGGTCTCTGCCTTGGGTTGGAGAGGGCCTGACCTCAGTCCCAGGCTTTGCTGAGGATGTTTAAGAGGACTGGTGATACGACACAGCTGGCACCGACCTCTACGCCTCTCCTGGGGGCTGAGTGAAAGGATCAGGAGAAACACTGGAGTAGAAAAGGGCAGAGACGGGGAAGGGTAGCAGTACATGGGCCTCGCTATGAAGGGGAATACCTCAACCATGCCAGCGACCCGAGCAGAGAAACAGCCAACAGAACATCAGTCAGTATAACAAGCTTTTATGTATAAAAAAAAACACAATAAAAGATACCACCCAGCTAGCTGAGAGGACTGGGCACTGCCTCCAGAAATAGTCGTGTCGCAAATGCAACAAGCCTCCAGCAGCAGGACGGGGCTACCCTGGAGAGAAGAGGCTGAATTTCTGGGGCTGGCAATTTAAGATCCCTCACTGTCCTTCTTTCTTGAGCCTCCTTACTTGAGGTTGTAGAGGAGGCCCCTGCAGCCCATTGCTACTGAGACCTGAGACAAGCCAGAGGAGCTGTGTTGAGGAAAAGAACTTACTATGGGTTTTCTCAAATTAGTTTAAAAAAAAAAAAAAAATGCCCGTTGTGATGCCCGCTCGCAGTAGCTGACATATGAATATGGGACCTCAGGGTCTCGGGCTTTATTGCCACATGGCGGGAGAAGAGCCTGCAGAAGACTAGGTAGAGGGGCCGACCTGATATTTTCTTGGCTCTTGTGGTTCTCAGCTGGGCCCTAGTAAGAAGGGTGAGGAGGAGGGAGAGCACCGGCCTTGGCTGTCACCTGCGTCCTCTTGCGCGAGGGGCGGGGCTAGGAGACCATGGTCCCCGAGGGGCTCCCGGGGTCCTGCCTCGGGGAGGCTTTCCCGGGCCTCCTGCATGCGGCGCCGGGCGCGGCGGAAAGCCTCTGGGTGGAAGCAAACACAGTGGTCAGCTGCCGTGGTGTGGGGAGGCAGAGGGCCCATGCTGGCCCCGGGGGACCAGCTGGGAGGATGGGGAAGGGCGGGGGCGGGGGCGGGGGCGGGGTGGGGGTGGGGCGGAACCTACCCAGCACGTTGTGAATGGAACTCTGCTGGCTAAATCCTCCCAGACGGTCCAACACGCTCCGCATCCTTCTCCGGAGAGCACTGGACTCCATGAAGGCCCTGCAGGGGAGCGTGCCACATGGCCCAGGCTGCTCACCAGCCCCCTATCCCTCCACCCCCAAAGGAGAAAGAGCCCAGGCAGGGTCACTCACCTGGACTGCTGCAGACAGTGCAAGCGGAAGGTGACACTACCGGTGGTCTCTGTGCGGAGCCCGAAGCGGCTCAGGCGCTCGCCCTGGGGCAGTTAGAGGGAGTCAGGTCTCCAGTCTCCAGACCGCATGCCGGCCTCACTCCTGCTCCCGTTCCCTTTCTTAAGGGAAACAGCTCTTGGGGAAACCTCATCCCAGCACCCAGACTCGGTCACCTCAGGCTAACACGGGGCTCCCAGCCATAAAGCAGGGGCCAAGCTCACTGAGGATCAGTCCCACAAGCTTCCTGCCGATCCTGCCCATCCCTGGCTATCGAGCCTCGGCGATGGGCTGGGAGGGGGGCTGGTGAGTGTGCTGGGGGCCGAGGGAAATCTGGGGTATACCGTTTCCCAGAGACCTCCTACGAGAGAGGTGTGGATATCTGTACCTGGTTCACATTGTGGCTATGACTTCCAGCTGAAGCAGCAGGAAGGCAGGGGCTTAGGAATAAGGAAGGGCCGAGCAATGAAGGGGCCCTAACCCAGTCCCCTCCTGCTACAGATGAGACAGGAATGCGAGTTCTCAGAATGAGGTCTCCCCAGAGACAGAAATCACCTTGAAGGTCCCTGGAACCCGCACATAGGAGAGGTCCTCCAGCTCCAGAGAGCCGCCGATGAAAAACCTCCGCAGCTCAGCCACCGTGCCCAGCTCCAGGGGTCGCCAGGTGGACACGGTCAGGGTGTGCGAGCCTGCGCAGGAGGAGGACAATGAGGCCAGGCCGGGTAGGGCACGCGGGCCCTTGCTGACTCCCCACCCGTGGCACTGGCCTAGTCACCACTACAACGCCTGTTCTGGCGACAGTCTGACGTCTGATGCAGACGGTCAGGGTAGCAGTTTAGGGCACCGTTTGGAAACAAATCAGGCGGAAATTCAAATCTCAGCCCTGCCCGTGAATACCTGTGTCCCCAGGTTAAGTTTCTTCACCTCTCTGAGCCTCATTCCCATCTAGTAAAACGGAAAGAACACCTACACCTCACAGAGCAGTTGGGAGAACCAAGGGGAGCACTGAGCACCGTGTCTGGCGCACGATGAGGGACAGCGGCTATTCTCGTAAAAAACGAAGGCTGATCCACTCTGCCCCGCAGCTCCTCCCTCAGGGCTGCACTCCCATCAGCGGAGCAGGGAGTCCGGGCGCTGGGCTTCACGGCGAGGGGTGCTTTCCTCTCAGCCGTCTCAAACGAAGGGAGGGAAACCCCCAACAGGAGCCAGGAACCCTGCGAGTTAACTGCTTCTGGTTCCTAATTCCCTCCTTCTCCCCGGCAGCGGGCGGGTCTTTTGGAGGCGTTGGTCTTGTTCCTAGCAGCCGGGGCATGGGACAAGAGGTCACCTGGGGTGGCGGGCAACACCGCAGCCCCGTAGCCTTCCACGCGGTACCTCTGCCAGAAGTCCAGCGAGAGGACCTCGCAGTAGAGCACAGGCCACTTCGGGAGAGCCTCTGCGAGCAAGGGAGAGAAGCGGCGGGTCACGGGAGGCCCTCGCCCAGGGGGGAGCCCCCCCGCCCTGAGAGACCTGAGCCCGGGACCGGCCGGCTGCTGAGATACTCACCGGCTGACTCGTCCTCGTGGAGGAAGGAGGCCTCAAATGAGAACGGGTAGGAGAAGTAGGCCACCTTGTCCTAAAGAGGAGGAGTGCCATTTTATACTCGGTGCCACGGGGTAGGCGAGGCCTCACCTGAGATTCGTTCTCCCTGTGGCCAACGGCAAGGCCACCTTCACAAGGGAAAAAGGGAAACGGTTGCCCCAGGCAGGAGAGAAAAGGCTGAGGCAAAGGGACACCCCTTTGTTACAAGCTGCTCCCGTTCTCCCCAAAGCGGCGAGAGCGAGAGGACCCAGGGACCGAGCAGCCCTGCAGGGCCCCCACCGAAGGGCTAGACCCAACGCTGGGACCCCCCAGAGGGCGTGGCTGCGGGCCACCCCAGGATCAGAGGCCTGTTCCCTCCCAGGCACCCGTACCATTCCCAGGGACTTGGTGGCGCAGGTCTGTGTTATTCCCGAGAGCTGCTGGGCCGCTGGGCTGGACCAGTCTGAAAGCCAAAGACGACATGCAGCCCGTTTACCGGGGAGGAGGGCAAGCAGTTGAGAAAGAGACAAGTTCCTTCATCCACTCATTCAGTCCATCATTCACTGAACACTTCCCGAGTGTCCACTGTTTGCTTTGAACAGTCACTGTGGATAACTTGGTGATCAGACAGAGAACATCCCTGTCTCACGGGACCTAACCTTCTAGGGGGAGGGAGACTGACAACCAACAGGAGACTCAGGGGGTGACGAATGCTGCGCTAAACGGAAGCAGGTGAAGGCACCGAGGGGCCCGGGGGCCGTGTAGGCCAAGGGGCGAGGGGAGACCTCTCAGAGGCCTGAACTCGGGAAGAACCCGTCGTGCAAAGATGTGACGGGAAGGGGTTCAGACACAGAACATGGTCCCGAAAAGGCGCAGCCTTGGGCACTTGAAGAGTTGAAGAAGAGGAGGAATCAGCCAGGGAGGCTGATGATGGACCAACGAGAGAACAGAGGAGCATGGAGCCGGAGGCCAAGAGTTTCAGTGAGGAAAAGTGAGCCGTGTCAAATGCTTCCGAGAGGCCAGGTGAGGTGGAAGCAGAGAGGACACCACAGGGTTTGACAGCTTGGAAATGACCTATGGCCTTGAAGAGAACAATGACAGTTTTGGGAAGAAGGCCTAGCCAAATGCCTTCAGAGGCTCTCAGAATGGATTTTTAAAAATTCATGAATATTGCCGAAACCGGTTTGGCTCAATGGATAGAGCGTCAGCCTGCGGACTGAGAGGTCCCGGGTTCGATTCCGGTCAGGGGCATGTACCTGGGTTGTGGGCACAACCCCAGTAGGAGTTGTGAAAGAGGTAGCTGATCGATGATTCTCTCTCATCAATGTTTCTAACTCTCTATCCCTCTCCTTTCCTCTCTGTAAAAAAATCAATAAAAATAAAACAAATAAAAAATTCATGAATATTACTTACTTGTAGTTGGTAATTCCACAAAGAAGTGGACATAGAGGTTGTCATACTCATAGCCTTTGGCTGAAACTAAGAAAAACAGGAAACCATTTCAGCTTATTCTCCTATCCTCCTTAGCACCCACCCAGGCCTGAAGGGTTTCTATGCTTCTGAAAGAAAGTCCCTCGAGGGCCAGGAACTGTCCTGTGTGTCCAGGAAAGACCCATGGCTGGGTTTTCCAAGTCCTGCAGACCACCCAAGGCCTCCGTGGGGCCGGGCGGATTACCTCACAGCTCCGTGGGGCACCTGACCAAGTGCAGGAGGTCTCTGCCCGGCAAGACACTTACCTACCTCTCCATTGACAAAGAGCCGGAGGGCGCCGGGGTCTGTCTGAGGTAGAGAGAGAAACGGGAAAGGTCAGGCGGCGTGGAGATCAGCACTTCCCCAGCCTGTTCACAAACTCCCGGAAGACCTGACACTGGATGTGTCCCTAACGCATTTCCTCCCCACCCCGCCACCTCATAGATCTCTTTCCTAAAATATCTAAGATTTGCAATGTAGGGGGGGAAAGTATATAATTTAAATGGTGGGGAGGGCAACACAGTGTGGGAAATTGACAACAGTGAAGGGAAGCCCTAACAGCTGACTTCGTGTGTCCTGGGAGGATGGAGACCCCGTTCCCTTTAGGTGGCTGAGAAACTGGAGAAACTAGGGAGTTTCCCGTTTTAATTCTTTGGGTAGCTATCTAACATTTAAACACTGACCATCTGTTGCTAATGCAATATAAGAATGATGAAGCCGAAACTGGTTTGGCTCGGTGGTAGAGCGTCGATCTGCAGACTGAAAGGTCCCAGGTTTGATTCCGGTCAAGGGCATGTACATTGGTTGCGGGCACATCCCCAGTAGGGGGTGTGCAAGAGGCAGCTGGTCAGTGTTTCTCCCTCATCCATGTTTCTAGCTCTCTATCTCTCTCCCTTCCTCTCTGTAAAAAATCAATAGAATATATATATTTTTTAAAAAGAATGATGAAAGTGAATTTTTTAAAAAGAGAGAGAGAGACCTGCAGGTAATTCTATCCTTGTTTCCAGATCTAGAAATGGAACTCCCGGAATGAGGGGACACAGAGAGCAGGACCATAAAATAACTGGCCTAAGAGGTTTGGTTTTGTTTTTAAAGAGCCAAACTATTGGACAAGCAAAGATGACACCTCTTCCCTCTCAATGGCGTCCTTAGGAAAAAAGATCCACATGAAGTGAGGAAGACATTTTCATCTTTATATTTATTTTTAAAATAAATTATAAAGTAGCACATGAGTGTATTACCGCTGATGAGATTCACAACTACATCAGCGCAGAGAATAAAAAGTAAACATACCTGACATATCACACTCACCTCGAGTATTCATTTACCATCTCCCAATCCTACCCTTGCCCCAGACAAAGCCATCCATAGCATGTGTGTGTTCCCTTTAAGGTGTCTTTTCTGTGCTAACAGTTCTGTATCAATATGCAAATGCTTTAAAAGCATTAACAAGGACTATCCTCTATATGCTATTTTTTAATTTCCTTTGACACTGAAGAGTAGAGTTTGTCCTGGGGGCCTTTAAGAGAGGCTCTGTGACTCAGCCACAGCCTGAGCCCAGCTCACAGAGCTGCGGGAAGCTGAGTACTCACCATCTCAAAGTCAGTGCCCACGAGGCTGCTGAGATACTCCTTGTGCCGGCCATAGAGCTGCGGAAGGAAACCAAACCGAAACCCAAGACTGTGACCCACGCCAGACCAGGGTTCAGTTCCAAATGGGAGAAAAAATGCAATGATGGGAAATGTCACAGGGAATTGGAGGCCTAAGCATCCCAGCCGCTGACATTTGAAAGTGAAGTACAGAGGCTGTGCAATCCACAGGCCTGGGACCGACTCCTGGCTTTCACACATACAAGCTGTAAGCACTTGGGCAGGCTGCTTAGCTTCTCAGTCTCAGTCTCCTCACTTATAAATGGTAGTAATAAAAGCATTTACCTCAAAGACCTGTTGAACGGTCTCAATGAAATAAAGGATGTGAAATATCTAGCCCAGAGCATGGTAAGTAGTCAAATAAATGGTCATTATGGGGATGTTCTAATATGATCAAACACTTGGGTCTGATATGTCAGCAATGCTTCCTACGTCAGAAAGAGCCATTAAGAGCAGACTTTGCAACTGCTGACATCAACCTCGGCCATGGTCTCAGCTCTCAGGCGCTGGGGCTCACCCGCCTGGTACCAGGGATGGATTAGCTCTTACATCCTTGAACACACGCTGCTCCCGCTCCTCCTCCTCCGGCTGTGCGAGGGAGGACACATTGTCGATTGTATACTTCCACAGTTCCTGCTTCTCCCCCTCGGTCTCGATTCTGTAAGGTCAAAGCCACAATAGGACCAACTCTAACAACAAGAGATGGGGCCCTCCAGACCTAGCCCAGAATTGAGCCATCACTGGCCGTACACCCCATTTAGAGTACATGATGACAAGTGACGGTCAGATTGATGACTGGGAGAGGGAAACAAACTGGTAAAGCAAGGGCACTAGACTAGGCTGAGAGTACAGGTTCTGGGCCCATTTCCAATTCAAAGTCACGGCGAATCCCTAAAGCATGACATCCCTGGCACCCAGTTCTCTCACCTCAGAAACAGACAGGAGAGTCTAGGTAACTTCTATTTACAGTTCTGTTATTCCAGGACATAGAGATGAAAAAGAATTAGCCCAGGGGAAAGACCTGGCGGAGTTCACCACCCATTCTGGTTAACCCCTATGCTCAGCCGTGCAGAGAATTACTGTCACTGAACCACTCTGCTGAGGCTGGCACTTTCAAGTTGGTGTGGCTGCACGTTTTCTGAGATGAGGATCCCCAGCATCCTAGGAGCCCAGAACAGAACATGGACCACTGCTCAGGAACTTAACCTCAGAACAGAGGGAGGGCTTTCTGAGCGTCCCTCAGCCAGGGGCGAGAAGCGAAGCCACGGGGAAGATGGCAGTCTCTACCACCCCTTTCTTTCCCTCCTCACCTGTAGGGTCCTTTGAGGCCCGTGAAGTCAGGTTTTACTGTGATCACACCATTGCTGTCCACCTTCAGAGTGCAGAGGACGTGCTCATAATGCTTATAGCCGAGCCTAGAAACCGGAAAATCAACAGCATCACGGATCCCACCTCCAGGGAAAGAGGAAGAGGCAGTCAGACCCCGGCAGGGGAGAGGACAGAGGCTGCAGGGAGAATTATCGCGATAAGACACTTCCTTCTGAGAACAGTTAAGAAGCATAAGAAGAAAAAGAAGTCCCTTCCTCCTACAGGCCCCAGGGTAATGACACCAGGTGGGCAATGGCCAGTGGAGGCGATGAGGATGAGGACTGAGCTGGGCAGGGAGAAGCCTCGCTTACTTTCCACAAGGCCCCAGGTCTGCCATGATGTACATCGTCTGAAGAGGGGTGTTGATGACGTGGTGGCTCTTGATGAAATCTTCTGAGGGCTCCCAGTTGACAATGCGTGACTTGAGGATGCCGCCCTCCCTGGGAGACACCACAGGAAGGGTCACTTCCCTGGGCCCCCCTGCAGAGCCTGGAGGAGGAACCCGCGGGAACACCCCCAGATGGGGGTCTCCTGCAGAATGGGGAGCTGCAGTTGGTGCACACACCGAGAACAATGGTGCGAAAGGACCACAGAGGCCCCCTGCTCCCCCGTGCACACGTGCACTCACATGCCTCGCCTGTCCTGCCGCCGCCGCCTGACGTGTGCCATTCGCTCCACCAAGAATGATGGCACCTCCCTGGCTGTGGTCATTTTCCGACAGTGCTGGGAAGAGAGAGAGCAGCCTTGTGTAACCCAGCTGGCGAGGGCCACGTGGGACCAGTCACCCAGAGGGAACCTTTTGAAACCTCATCTGGCACCTGGATCTAAAATGATTCCTTACAAGATACATGCTAGTGAAGAGGAGGAGTGGCACAAACAAGCCAGAGAAGACTCCTGCCACGCCTTGGTGTCTTCCTATCCTGAGATTTGCAGGATATTGACCTTTGGAGGTGAGTTTATTTGTGCTAGTATTTAGATGAGCCTGCAATTTCTGAGCACATACCAACAAAACGTTGGGTGAGTTTGCCTGGTGGATGCTGACCTTCGCCAGGTACCTGGAAAATGCCAAATGGGGTACACGTGTTCTGGGGGAAGTCCTCACACAGGAACTGGGCGCTAACTGCACTTTTATTCACTTTTCCAAAACGGACAACCCGAATTGTATATGCTACCAACCCACAACTTTCCTGATAAAAGTACCGATCATTCAAAAATATTCCCTTAACAACTGTTCCTCGCACCGATCTACAAGGTTGTAGACAAAAATCAGAAAATAGAGGCTCTATCCTCCCTCATTGAGTCTAAAATCTCACCAAGAAGACAGACCCATCAGGCAGTGACTGAAGAAAATGTTAAGTCCACTAGGGTAACGGTCACCATCTGGTAATCTGCAGACCACTGGTGATCCATGAGGTCAGAAAGGTTGGTGACCATTTCACTAGGGTATAACTGAGGCAAACTGAGGACATAAGCCATTGGCTATACGGAACTCCTCTTCAAACCCACACACTCAGAGTTTTGGCCGAATCCCTGGTGAATTTTATCTAGATCAGCAATTTTAGACCGGTGTCCTACAAGAATTTTTAAAACATGTAATATCTGACTGATTTAGTCAGGGGCACTGACCTTTTTCCTCAGTTTGTCAAATAAAAAGAAAAAATGACAACAGCCAGCACAACAATAGCTGTCCAGTGTGAATGAATCAAAATGATACCTATTTTTTTTGCCATATCAGCAAAAAAAAAATTTTTGTGTGTGTGTGTTCCACAGAATTCTAATTAGTTTATGTAGGCCACGAGATGAGAAAGGTTGAAAATCACTGATCCAGATGGTTCTAGATGCCAACCACCTTTCTTATCTCATGATAAGAAATAGGGGAAGTCCAGCTCCTGGTTTGCAGCCTTAGAGACCCTTCCAGCTCCTCCAGGCCCTCCAGCAGGTGGAGAGGAGAGCAGAAGCCATTCCATCTGTAGACTGAGGCTGCCCTATTCCCGCTCAGCTGCCAGCAGCACAAGGCAGATCCTAGACAGGCTCTCTGCCACCCCGTACCAGGCTCCTGATTTCACACACAGAACCCCGCAAGGCCAGGAAGCTCAGGGAGGCAAAGGAAAAGGAAGCCATGGGACCAGGGGAAGAACAATACCTCCTCCAAATTGGTGAATCTATCACAGTCGGTGTAGGTAAAGATCCGTCGGTTCTTCCTTCTCCCTGAATCCTCCAGCTTCAGGATGTCTTGGCGGTACTGCTGATCCAAAGGGCTCTGACAGGCTGCTTCATTTTGGTACAGATCTACTTCAAACTGAGGTCACAGGGAAAGAAAGATCTAGCGAGACCACGTCAAACTTTTGTTTGTTCCTGTAACTGTTTAATTGGAACAGTTCTATAGAGCCGATACAATCTGACATCTTTTCATCGCCAACTCTCATTTATCTAAACCCGTGGTAGGCAAACACGTGGCTTTTTGGCCCCTTGAGTGTGGCTCTTCTACAAAACACCACAGCCTGGGTGATGTCTATTTTGAAAAAGTGGCATTAGAAGAAGTTTAAGTTTAAAAAATTTGGCTCTCAAAGGAAATTTCAATCGTCGTACTGTTGATGTTTGGCTCTGTTGACTAACGAGTTTGCCGACCACTGATCTAAATTAATGGAGGGCAGGGGATCCAAAGGATGTAAGAGCTAAAGGGAACCATCCAACTCTGCTGTCACCAATGGCATGCCGAGGTGAAAAATGCCTCGCTCAGGATCATAAAACTGGGTAATGACAGTCACTACACTACACTGACCCTGTAACACATCAGGACGAAGTAGATATAAACTGCTACTATAAGCTTTCTGGAAATCGGTTTGGCAATCTGTATGAAGAAGCTCTCCCTGCCACCAGCAAGGTGGAGGTGGAATGGGTGGAGGCAGACTGATTAGATAGGTGACACTGGCTCACCTGGCTAAAGAGCTTCTCCTGCCACCCAATCACAAGCTCCTCCTCTTCATCCTCATCTGGGCGGTGTCCGCCTTCGAAGACAACAGGGTGAGTCAATGTCTGAGCCAAACCAGCACTACCTTTTGCTCTGTGGTTAGTTATAATCAAAGGCCCTGCCTTATATTGCCACAAAACCAGTTGGAGTTCAGTGATTTATGAACTACTCACTCTAGACTAAGGCTGGGGAGGCTGGGGATGAGTAGAAGCCAGGATGAAGACCCAAGAAGAATCGGCCTTAATCACTACTCTAATTTGAAAAGGAAGACATGTCTTCTAGGAATTATTTAACCCGACTCATTGTCAGTAGTTGAAATTCAGGCTGCATAGCTCTTTCTCAATCCTAATTATCTACATTTGCTTAAAAGGAATCATGGCATTTTCCTCTTCACTATTCCTGAAGCCATATATCCAGAATCACAAACACTGTAGCCTTAGGACCAAGTATCAGAAGAGAAGAGGAAAAGCAAATAAATGATTATATAAAGAACCAAATATGACACAGTCCTGGCAGAGTATGCCTTTTTCAGAGACACATGCTTCACAATCCACCAGCCCACATTCTTCTTCCCCAAGACTATTTTTTTAACAGAAACAAAAGCAGAGAGACTAGTGGCCTAACACAAGCTCACTGTCCCCTCTTCCTCACTCGGCTGCCTTCCCAGATAAGGAAAACTGCAAGAGGACAGTGGATATTAAAATACACATTTTTCAAACTGACACAAATTTTCAAGTTGCTTTAAAAAATGTTCTGATGTGTACTTAGGATTTGAAGCATATTTTCTTTTAGAAAAAAAAAAATGCCATGAAAGGTATTTAGGTTGCCAGGAAAATTTGTAACATATCTAAAGAATTTTTTTTTATTTTTTGTTTTTATTTCACTACACTGAACCACAATTAAGATCAGTATCTTGATGGCAGGAATCACGCCGTTTTAAATTTTCATAGACAACATAATATAGTAGTTAAAATCGTATAACGGAACCCTGGCTTCAGCATTTACCGGCCATCTGACCCTGGGCCAGGAACCCAACCTCCCTGCCTTTTCTCAGACTACAGCCCTGGGCCTTTCCTGTCTTAAGAAGCTAACTACCACCCTAGGCCCTTCCCTGGTATCCAAGGGGACACATCACCATCCTACACCCACTGGCGGTAGCGTGAGGCCTGAAAGTGGCCAAGTCAATGAGGTCCTTCCCATCCTGGGCAGCAGGCTGGTAATGGAGGAAGTTGCTTGATGTGATTCTTTGCAAGTGGACTCTGTCAGGAAGAGAGAAGCCCAAACACTCGTTAAAACGAGACACCCAAGCAGATGAACAGGGAGCAAAGCTGGGGAAACACAATACAGAAGTGGGTGAGCCTCTGCGAAGGTGTGCCGGGTGCCCGCAAATGAAAGGTGGTGAGCGGGGCGCCGCCAGGGATGAGTCGGATGGAAAAGTGTACTGGGGACACGGAGCTCCGAGCACTCTGGGCGCCCTGAGTAGCTGTGAGCAGAGAGGGTGCCAGGCAATGAGGGGAGACGCAGGGAGACCGCGGAGGCAGTGACCAGGGTTGTAAGCAAAAGGGGAGGTGGGGGACGCCGAACACTGAGAAGTGAAGTTCAGGCTCGAGTTATCTGAGGGCATAAAAGCACGGGGCTCCGGGGCGACGCGACTACCGGAGGCGCAGGTTGCGCACGGGGTCCCGGGAGCGATACACAGCCTCCCCGGTGTCTGTGTTCCAGACGGTGTCCGCCATGACAGCTGCGCCGCGCCGCGACGGCGCCGGAAAGCGCGCCGCTCCCGGTTCCCCTGGCAACGGAGACGCTGGGCTGGGGAGGCGGCGGAGGAGCTGCGTGCGCATGCGCAATCCGCGATTCCCAGCGCTCCGCAGCCTCTGCCGGCCCGGTGCAGCCCTGGCCAAGGCCAAATTCCTTCCTACGCGCCAAAGTGCTGGGGTCCCGCGGGATCCCCGCTTATCACAAGTGTGACCAAAGCTCACGCACACCCGAGGCCGACTTCATGCATTTTACAAAAGAGGGAACGAAGGCAGAGCCTTTGGCCCTTTTAGGGAGATCCAGAAATGGTGATGGGGACCAGCCCCAGATTCCCTGCTGACACCCAATCACTGCATTTGCCACCACACTGACTTCCATGGATGCTCAGTGCTTTGGCCTGAATCAGGATGTGACTCACAGGATGTTTCCATTCTTCCCAAAGGAGTCAGGGAAAGTGATGGCACTTATACAGACATGGTCTTATATTCTTAGAATAAAATAAGAACTGTCAGAAGGTTTATTAGTCCTTGTGTTGGCATTCACTAAGCCAGAGAAAGAAAAAACAAGGAAGCTAGCAGTAAGGAAGAAAACAAGGTTCTTGAACTATTTTTTTTCCTCCTGTATGAGTTAGTTCCGGGTTTTTGAGACTTAGATTCTGCACTGGCCTCCTGAAAAGCCAGGAAAGTGCCATTGAGAAGTCATGCTTCAGTGGACTATCAAAGGCAAGGCACACCGTAACCTCTTGTCTGGCTCCCTGGCACCCCCAAGGTGGTGTCAACAGCTATTGGCCTTTGACCTTTGCTACTCCCCCAAACAGAGTGAGCCATTGTCCCCTGAAATCATATGCCAGTTTGATTCTATAGCATTGGGAGCTCTGGGCACACATAGCTGCTGTTGTGTAACACAAAGGACTCACCATAATAGCAGCACCATTATTTAACGTCTAATACAGCCTGAGCACTTCGTTTGCATTGTCCCTAAATGACATAGAAATCCCTTAAGTCAATATTGTTGTTCCCATTTAATTGATGGAGTTAGTGAATGCCAGGGCTTAAAGCGCTGCTAAGGTGGAACTCTAAGAAGTGGTGAAGAAGCTGGGATTCTAGCCAGGTCTGTCTTTTGAAACCTGAACACCTTCCATTCTGCCTCGCAGCCTCTCACCTACCAGTTTATTCCATAAAAGCAAGTAATTTTCAACCTGGAAGCAATTGTTTCAACAGATGAAACCATGGAGTCAGAATACTAGTTCTTAAGAAACAGTTTTTCTGTTTTTCCTTTTTTTTTAAAATAAATTTTTATTGTTCCTATTATTACAAATGTCCCCCCCCCCCATTGCTCTCCTCCACCAGGTTCCCACCCCACCCTCTGCCCTTTCCCCACCCCCCATTGTCCTCATCCATAGGTACACAGTTTATGTTCAGTCTCTTCCCACATCCCCCTCTCCCCTTTTCCCCAAGAATCGTCAGTTCACTCCCCTTCCATACTTCTGATTCTATTATATTCAACAGTTAATATTGTTCATCAGATTTTTTTTTAATTTCCTTGGTTTTTAGATTCACTTGTTGATAGTTACGTATTTGTTGTTCATAATTTTTATCTTTATTTACTTTCTCTTCTGAAAGAACCCCCTTCAGCAATTCATATAATTCTGGTTTGGTGGTGATGAACTCCTTTAGCTTTTTTTTTTTTTTTTATTAGTGAAGCTCTTTATCTGACCTTAGATTCTGAGTGATAGCTTTGCTGGATAGATTATCTTTGGCTGTAGGTTCTTACTATTCATCACCTTGAATATTTCTTGCCATTCCCCTCTGGCCTGCATGGTTTCTGTTGAGAAATCAGCTGACAATCGTATAGGTGCTCCTTTGCAGGTAATTACCTGCTTTGCTCTTGCTGCTTTTAATATTCTCTCTTTGTCTTTTGCTCTTTGAATTTTAATTATGATTTGTCTTGGTGTGGTCCTCTTTTGATTCTTTTTGTTTGGAGTTCTGTGTGCTTCCTGGACTTGTAAGTCTAATTCTTTCACCAGGTGGGAAAGTTTTCTGTCACTATTTCTTTCAGTATGTTTTTGATATCTTGCTCTCTCTCATCTTCTGGGACCCCCATAATTCTGATGTTGGTTCGCTTGAAGTTGTCCCAGAGGTTTCTTACATTATCTTCAATTTTCTGGATTCTCTTGCCTTCTTGCTTCTGTGGAGGAGGGTCTTCTGGCTCTTTATGTTCCAAATCTTTGACTTGATTCTTGCAATCTTCCATTCTGTTTTTAGGACTCTGCATAATATTTTTTTTATTTCAGACAATGTATTCTTTATTTCTTGTTGATCCCTTATCATTTCTTATTGATTACTTATTAATTCTAGTTGATCCCTTCTCATATCCTCATAGGTCTTATCGATCTTTTCTAGGAAATTCTTGAAAAACCTTATAAGCGTAGATTTTAACTCTATATCCAGTCGCTTTTTGTCCTCCATTTCTTTCGTTTGTGATCTATTTCGTCTTGGCATTTTCGCAGCTTCCCTGATGGGGCAGGGTTTCAGGGTGGAACCTACAGCTTTGGCTTCCGTCAGCCCCATCCTATGCGGCTCCTGAGTCTCAGGGTCCTTCAGTACTCGTTGCAAGCGCCTTTGAGAGAAAGGTGCCCTCAATTTTTGTCTGCTACCAAACAGTCTAGGCTCTCCCCTAATGAGCCCAGTATTGGGGTTCTGTTCAGTTGGGAGTGGAGTTAGAGGTGGCATTCAGAGCAGTCTGGAGCCCCTGTCTCCTTCCCACCAGGGCAATTCTGCGGCACAGCCAACTGTCCCTTCTCTGCACACAATGTTTGCGCCTCCGGAACCTCCTTTCGCAGCTCTCCCGGGGTTCCGCCTTACAGCCCAGCTCCCTCTGTGTGAGCCTGGGTCCCTGGGGTCTGGCCTAGAACTGGGGTTCAGAGCAGTCGGAACTGGGGCCCAGCACAGTTGGAACTTTTATCTCCTTCCTGCTAGGGAATGCCAGCCAGCACCTCAGCCGCCCCTCCTCTCCGGCTCCATCCTCTCCTCATACCTCCGTACCTTAGGCTTTACAGCTCCTCCACTCTTCCTTCTGGTTTTCTCCTTGCTTCTCATTGTAGAATTTCCAGTCAGTTGACTTTCCTGTAGTTCTGGGTAATGTCCATTTTATATTTTATTGAAATTGTTGTGTGCGGCTGCGGCTAGGTGTTTACCTGTGCAGCCATCTTGGATTCTCCCCTATTTTTTCCTTTTAAAAGTTGTGAATAGACAGAACCGTGCCACATGAACAACAAATGATAAATGTGGAGGCTGCATCAACAATTTAGTTTTATAATCAAATCAAATTTATAGCAAAGTCAATTTGACTTAATTAGAAGCAAGATAATACTGTACCACATAGTATGGAAATATAAGCTATTTGTATAAGTAAGCACAATGGAATTATTTTTATACAGGTAACTAGGTGTTTATGTTTGTTTACTGGTACCTATAAGTCAGCATTCTCAAAATTGGAGTCCATGAGTGGTGTTCAAAGGGTCTATGAACTGTTTCCTAGAATTCTGTGGGGAGCATTTTCTGGAAGGAGTTTATAGTTTTTATCAGATCCTTAAAGGAGCTTGCCCAGTACCAAGAATGATATTGTGACACCCTCCCCCCCCCCCACACACACACTATATTTATACTAGAGGCCCAACGTGTGAAATTCATGCAAGGGTAGCCTTTGCAGCTGCCCTGGCTGCTGCCTCAGCCCTCGAAGCCCTGGCTTCATCCAGAAGGTTGTCCAGATGGCCGTTTTGCATATTACGATTTTATTATTATAGATACTAACATCTTGTTAAAAGTCAAAAGTTTGGATTACAAAGCATAAAGAGCAACTTTTGTATCAACACCAGCAACCTTTCCACCCTCACCCCCAACCAGGTGGTTTAGAGCTTACATTACTGTGTTCTCCCCGAAATAACACCATCATTGGAGAAATTTTTGTGTTTAGAAAACAATTCCACAAATCATCATAAAGGGTAAATATTATTGCTTCCATTTCACCTATTTATAAACCAAGATATTACATTTCTCACAATCTGAGGAAAAGAAGCAAAGAGCCAGGGTTGTAAGTCCAGATGTTCTGACTCAAACCCATGGGATCTCCTTCGAACTGTGCTGCCTTCTTATATCTACTCATCCCCATCCTATCCCCCAATTTTTTCTTTTCTAAACCAGCCCCATCTGAGCCACATCAGAACAGCCCGCCACTCTCCCTTTTCCCCTCCCAATTGGCACTTTATCACCTACTTGGGCTCTCCTCACTACTAGACTTTAGGAAAGCAGAAGGAAAAGAAGGAGAATATCACAAAGTGAAACATTTGCCTGTTAAAGTTGTGATCCAGCAATCCCATTCCTAATTACTTATTCAAAACCAATGATAACATATATCCACACAAAGACCTATATATGAATGTGCATAACAAGTTTATTCACAATAGCAAAAATAGGAAACAGCCCAGATGTCTACCAACATGTAAATACTTAAACAAATTGCATAGTATCTATACAATGGAATACTACTACGCCACAATAAAAATAAAGTAACTACTGATACATCAAATGGATGAATCCCAAAAATTATTATGCTAAGTGAAAGAAGCTAAACACAAAGGGCTATATCCAGTGTAGTTTCTTTTTATGACATTCTAGAAAAAATAAAAACTATAGAGGTTGCCTGGGGTTGAGCTTGGAAGAGGGGTTGACTACAAAGGAGCAGGTAATTCAGGAGATAATGAAAATATTATATATGGAAATGTGATGGTACACAACTCATTGCATTTATTAAAACCTATAGAACTGTCTGTCATGATGAGTGATTTTACAGTAAGTAAATTGTTGTAAACTATTTACCAAGTTTTGAGAAACACCTAAAATGGAATATAGACTTATTACAAAGGACTCTCACTGCGTTACAAATGATTCACATAACCACACTGAAGGGAATGAGAAAGAAA